AGAGGTGGACACATCAAAGCATTCTTATGAGGCTGTAATACTTGAGGTTACGGAATGGCAATAAGGTAGGATTACGCACCATTTGTAAGCTTGTGATATCGTTCATATAAGGTTAATATGTTAAAGGATAAAGGATAAAACTCTTGGTGTTGATCAATCTCTGAGGGGTGATGCGTCATGCATTCGACTTCATCAAGTATCGTTGGAAGTGATTTAATGCATATCTGGCCTTTACAATAACTCGCGGTGGCCTACCGATGTATCGAGCCAGTGCTGCTAACCACCCAGAGAAGTCTGGTACAAATTTGCCGACCCGGTATGTAAGGCTTGGTTGGCCATGAGCTCGGGAATCGATTCCACGTGTGTGGTACAGGGCTCCTCCAACCACTGCGCCACACGCGCCTTGCAGCACGTACGTGAGGTTAATATTTGAGGAATACATGCAAGCTCGTAATAACATTGTGATGAGGTTATCGTATTATGGAATACATATTGGCTTGTAAAGCACTGCGACAAGATTAACATGTCAAGGTACACGTAAGCTTGCGATAACATAAACTTATAATGGACGCACAATGTGGTTTATTTGTTTAAAAGTGCATGACAGTGGATTAAAGTGAGTGTGCAATAGTGACTACGTGCAATACAAGTAAACACCCGGTTTATCTACATGGCCTAGTGCATAAGTTGTGCAGGCGCTCCTTAAAGGCCCTAATTGGACCAATAGGATAGCAGTTCACGAGGTCATTCAAATATCTTCTGTAGGAGGCGGTGTGCACCACAGGAACTTTTCTCGAATTCTGTCCTTGGATATCGTTTCCAAATCTCTTATGACCAGAACAGCCGAAGGAAGGCGCTCTCCCAAACAACTTTTGCCATTCGTGTTATTGTACACACGAAGGCTTCCAACAAAAATAACACGCAAAAAGCTCCGATTACACAAAGAGGTTTGCATAACAGAGACTATTTGTGGCAAGCAAAGTTCCTGAGAATGAAATGAAAACATCTACATGCTGCAAGATTGCTAAATGAAATGAGAAACAGCGGCTGTGGTCATTAGTATAGGAACGTGCGATAGTATGAAAGTATAGTAACTATTCGGGGAATAGTTCCTAGTGCATTAGTGCACGGTCGAATATGATTAAGGTATAGATAAATCCAGCAGCGAAATGAAATCCATCCCTCAAATCTGTCTCTTTGACCACCTAGGATCACACAATATATATAAGCATCTTTCTGGCTCAAGATTTCCTAAATGAGGAAACCCCATGACCGACTTTCTATTAACATCGGCATTGATCAAGTAATTCTTCGTATTTTTGTTGAGCAAACGCGAGGTGTTATTATTCTTTATTCACGAATAAGCTGACGTTTCGGCGGATTTCGCCTTCCTCAGAGCCTGGAAAGGTCAAGTTGATAGCAACCTATTCGGTCAGATACCTCCATAACCAAACAAAGAAACTCTAAACCAAGATTTCAATCACACTGAACATAGAACAGCTTCTTTGCACACTCACCGCTTTCTATGAGGTTTCCACTATGTATGTCACGTAGAGACCAACCGCACAGAAATCACATGGAAGCATAATATGCCCCTCCCTTCAGAATAGCACTCGTATATACTGCCCTATATCACGCGTGATAATGAGGCATTCTTCCCTGCGGTTCGTTTTCGGATTTCTGGAATTAATCCAGAGTGCCTCGAGAGTTTTTCGCGCGATATCGTATTTCTATTATTTCTTTTCGTGTATTTCTGGATTAATTCCAGAAATCCGAAAATGAACCGCAGGGAAGAATGCCTCATTATCACGCGTGATATAGGGCAGTATATAAAACTGTTTTTCTGATGTGAGGGGCACATTATACTTCCATGTNCGAAAAACTCTCGAGGCACTCTGGATTAATTCCAGAAATCCGAAAACGAACCGCAGGGAAGAATGCCTCATTATCACGCGTGATATAGGGCAGTATATAAAACTGTTTTTCTGATGTGAGGGGCACATTATACTTCCATGTGTTTTCTGTGCGGTTGGTCTCTACGTGACATACTCAGTGGAAACCTCATAGAAAGCGGTGAGTGTACAAAGTGTGTGTTTGTTCAATGTGATTGAAATCTTGGTTTAGAGTTTCTTTGTTTGGTTATGGAGGCGTCTGACCGAATAGATTGCTATCAACTTGACCTTTCCAGGCTCTGAGGAAGGCGAAATCCGCCGAAACGTCAGCTTATTCGTAAATAAAGAATAATAACACCTCGCATCTGCCCAACTAAAATACGAAGAATTACTTGAGGAAAATCCGTTGATTTCCACTAAGTGACCTACAGTTTCCAGTTCTTCACATAAACTGGATGAAATTGCGATGACTAATAAATTTATTTCCACATATGCACCAAATCATATGCTAGAATTCTGTTCATTCTCATGAGTTGTTCTACCAATATTCCCAAGTCATAGAGCTGTTATTTTCCTGTTAGCACAATTACCACTAAATTTTCACTAGTTTGGCTACCAATCATAAAGCTGTGTAAAGTAGTTCAGCTATGCGATCGTCTGTCCGTTTCGTCCTTGCATGACTCGAATTCTGCGTATTCGAAGCGTTCACCGAACAACGCCTTAGCACCAAGCGGGCCAGTCCAGTTGCCGGTTCATCGCCTACAGGAAACCAGAATCATCGAAGAGGACGACCTGGAATCGGTTGTTAGTGATCGAGAAAGTCTCTATCAGGTACAGTTCTTGAAAACGTGTCACTATATGGTTACTTTGTTAAGGAAAATGGAATATGTTGCTTCAGAGAATTTCTCTGCATTTCTTCCGTTCCTTTCCTACTTTCGCCTTTTCTTTATTTGTTCGTATTTTTCTACTTTCTTTAGCTTATGCTTCACCTTAAGAGGATTTTCATTTACAAAAATCACCGAATTCCAGGACTATGCCTATTTGGACGACACTGTGCCCGGACGATCGAATGCAGGTGTTGACAACACAGTCAATAACGGGATAAGCGACGACGTAAGACTTCATTAATTTTAACTTATCATTACTGCCTATTATTTTTAACGGCAGGGTATATATTGCGAAATATAACTCTAATGATGCTGAGGTATGTGCAAAACTCCGGACCGCAGGTGTCTGCGGTGGGGAACGAACGCGCCATTGTCCTTTTCGGGGAGTAACGCATTCACCTCCACACCATGCGGGTCCTTCGTTTCGCTCGTCGCTCAGCTAGTTCTATTGATATTTTGCCATCAGCAATCACCCATCGGCGGAATTGATCTGGTGAGCCTAAAATATATATATACCCTACCGTTAAAAAAAATAGGCAGTAAATAATAAGTTAAAATTGTGATTATAACTGCAGCCTCAGCTTAACTGGGTGCATTGCCGATTTATTCTAAATGTAAAGTATAAAGCGTCCGATTTTAATCAATTCCTGAAGGATACACCATGCGTTCGACTTCATTAAGCATTTTTAGGGGTGTATGAACGCTTATCTGGGTATTAAGTGAGTGCTGCTATCGTCTCAGGCATACATGCTACCAGTTTAACTAATCCATAGAAACGGAAGATTTGGTGATCCCGGGATTCAGGATCGAGCCAGCGATCGGCGCAGTGTGTATTTGCAGGGCACCTCTAACCATTGTGATACATGCGTCCTGAAAACCTGCGTGGCAGCGAATTTGTCAATAAAGAAATATCTTGAAAAAAGTTCCAAAGATGTAATGCTTTGCACTGCTAAATTTTGACCGGCGCTTTCAAATCTCGGCTGGAAATCCTATTTTTTTTCCAAAATCTGAATTAACTCATTATAATGATGTGTAGGGTAAATTCTTTCTTATGCGACCAGACTTTCTACATTCAAGCTGGACAGGGTGCTTATTAACCTCAATTAGTGCAGATGGAAATGATGCAACAGAACAGTTGTACGTTATTTCTATTAATGTTGTTTCCGCTATTACAAGAAAGTAATGTCTTTTGTGAAAACTTTTTCGTATGAGTGTAAGGTTGATAGAGTTGCAGTTAAATAGTCGCTCCAGTCCTCTTTCCTATTCCATGAGTCCATACGTCACATGGTTGGTGAGGGTGTTACTAGGTGTCTAACTGAATTCTCTCTCAGTCATTCATGATAAGAAAGAGTTCAATATTTCCATTCGAAAGTTCAGCTGAGAGTAAGCCAAAGCCTTCTCGTCTCTGCGGGGTCAACAAATTGAAGTCAGTACTGTATGGAACAAAAAAATTTTGACTGTTACATCGATAGACGACCGAAAGTCGTTTGGTAGGCCAGATATGCATTCAGTTGCGTCTGCGATGTTACGTTTGGAGATGAACAATGCTGCGTTACTCAGTGATTGGTCGATGACGAACGCTCGCTTCTTTTCAGAAACATCAAGAAAAGTAGAAAGCACTGGGGAGTTCATCAACCGTTCATTATATTAACAAAACCTTGTCGCACACTGACAAATTAAGCATATTCGCGGCTACACGAGCCATAGTATGTTCATACATTTCAGGCCGGTTTTCGCCAGTATCAGTCAGAAATTTCATTTTTTTTCCCGTTGCTTCTTGTATAGTGCAAATCTTTTTTCGCAATATCTTTTGTGTTTGATCGATACTTTTCCATTATGGAATATTTTGACTTTGAAGCGAGTAGAGCTTTCTTTTTACACAGTTTAAGAACAAAAAACTGTATTGAGATGACACTTCGTCCGAGCCAGCCCTGCGAAAGATTTGTGAAATACAGACGTATCAACTGGACAAATGCAAGTGCATGACTATCGCCGCTTTCTTTACCCTTTATGCTGATAGAATAAGACAGAGAACTATTGACAATTGAGAAGGGTATTGGATTTTCCTGCGCTTGGGGTTGCCCTTTGGCCTATAGGGGTCAAATGTGATTCATAACGCATCTGGCGAAGAATTAGGCGTCATCCATACGGACGCCACCGAAGATTAAATATTGTGCTACATTTTTTTCATAACCGCACCAGGTTCATATTTCATGCTTCCATGTCACCTGCAATCAAATCATGTGTTCAGGATCGTCAACTTGCTCGTTTCTACGCTCCACAACTCGATCAACATATAGAATCGCTTTCATTAGCTGTCGAAGATTTTTTAGGTACGGTGGAGAACAACTTGCCACCTAGAGATTTCGTCCAAAAAGGAAAACTGGTATGTTACGGTTTGTGATCGTTTTCAAAACAGGAGTGTTTATTTGAATTCAGATCATTTTGGCGGCTCACAAATTGATTTACATCGGGGACACTGTCTCGCAGTGTGTGTCGGACCGAGCTATCAGTCGCAACCTACGGCAGTGTGCTGATCGACTATGCGAATTGCTCAAGGAATGCGTGAAAGCCATGAAACTTGCATCAGAGGAGGTTCACTTTCTGAAATTTCCAAAACGAATCTCTTTTTTTGGAAAATTTAAACGCGTACTTCAGAACTTTGCTGAGGTTGTTTATCTAAGCTTCATGGCAAAAGTTTTACCTTTCTCAGAGTGGAATTCATGCACAGTGATATGATTGCTTTCAAAACATGATTACTGGCCCACTGTTGTCGAGATCCATCATATAGGATGAATTTTTCCGTCGTTTATTTCTCCGCCTAGAGCCGTCTACACTTTTTTCTAATCATTTTATGCTTATCTGACACAGATTTTCTGGCGAGCGTCGTCCAAGAAAAGCTATATTGGGGGCTCAGATGTGTCTAAAAAATTCTTTTTTCGAATTACCTCATGTGTTGAAACATATCCTCCTAATGGTTTACCGCCTCGTCGTGATTAGGAAGTGTTCCTGGATGTCGGGCTGTGTTGTACAGCGGAGCGATTCATCCCCGTGGCAGGGTCTTCCAAGCTGAGAAGGAGTCATGCGTTTCCATCACGAAGCCCATCTAAGAGTAAACCAATACGAAGATCCGTCACCGTGCTGGCACCAAACTAGTCGCGTCGTGATAAATTTCCTCTAATCCACAAGGACGGCGACTGCCTGTGGTGGTGACGACCTACGGTAGACTTTGGCGTAGTTGACTCCGGAACTCCATGGAACCACATTGGCTAGGCCCGCAAAACTCCGAAAAATGGAGATTATGCTGGGGCCCGCGCAACCACTGAGGACGGGCCATCCAAATATCCAAGTAAGTTGATATATTTCGAAACCGACTTTCCCCGAACCTCGGTATCACTAATCAATATGTATTCTTTCTTTGATGAGCTTACACGAGGTTGATAATGATGTTTATTTTCGGCTAACGTTTCGACGTCTTTGTCTTCCTCAGAGCCGATGATCGGAGTCGATGGTCCATAAGTTGATATACATGTTACCTATACGAAATATCCTTTACGTATGTAACAGAACTTTACCAAATGCTGAAAACATTCACCTCAAACTTTCTTTTTGATCAAACACAAGAGTTAGATGTGTTCCAAAAGCGCTAGAAGCTACAAAAAAAGACGAAGAGGACATATAGGATATTATAAACAAATTTATTGTTGATAAAAGACGCAAAGAACGAGTTATAGAACAAAAGTATGAGAAAGGGCGGAGTATTTTTTGTGGAGCACCTTGGACAAGGCGCGTCGTGTGTGATTCGTCAGGAAAGTGGTAGCAGAGAACGTTTCATTTGGATGACTCACAAAGTTATACATCGGAACCGTCGTGCTAAGCACAATATTTCATGGATTTATTTCGAAAACCTATGTATGAGTCACTGTCGCTCAAGGTCATTGAGCTCCGGAAAGAGTTTTTTCTTTCTGCACTTACATTTACAATATTTCAGTATCCGGAGTTGAAGAGTATGCAAGGAATGATCGATAGCATAATTGCCGTCTCCAAAACGGCCCATGAAATGAAGATACTTGTGAAGCAGTGGTGCTGATCGCTGCTGCTTGACATTTCGATAAGCGGATCGAGTGATCAACCGATCGACCGTCGGTTAATGATGTAATTCGTGTAGATGTAGTGATGTCGATTGCTTACACACCGTCTAGCTTGCTTGTCTGATGTCGTGCTTCTCCCTCCGTGAGAAGAAGGAGAATCGTGACCCGACCACTCTAGTCTATGCACTACGCTTTATGATACTCATCGTAATTCGTACGTTCATTTCCTTCTGACTCATTTGGCGTTTCGAGCTCCCATATCTTTTCCCTTCTTGTTTCTGAACTCTGTCATTGAGTTGTTGTGTTGAAGAATTCGCTGCTACTGGTAGTTCTATGTGCTTGACGACGCCCAGTGTGTCCATTACCAGTTGTTGCCTTTGAAAAATTGCTCATCGTAACGTGTGATTAGATTCTGTAAATAAATATAGCTATCTTAACATTGTTAATCCCTCCATTATTTCCAAAGCGTATGCAAAATGTGGTATACAGATGGTGGTATGATCGATGACCGTTGAAGTAAAAAAGAAACAGAGAGAAGTTTAGAAAGAACAAGTTCTAAAGAATACAAAAAAATACGAGATAGTCGCAACGAGCACACATCAGCCGTTACACCTGCAACTAAACACAGAAAAGGTTGCATAGGTTATATTGGGTTATTTTATATTTCTATTTTATACGCGAAAGAAACGACCACAGTTTGAACGGCATGACAGAACATCACAAGGTTCCAAGGTTGCTTTTTTTCGTAAAAAATGAGGGCCAAAAGTCAGAGACGAATTCATGAAATTGTGATTCGAGTGCTTCATCCAACACGGTAGTGCTTTACGTTATTGCTAAACCAGTCATAAATAGACGCCTATTTCTGGAAAGGCTTGAACTAGCGTGCCCTCAAGGGGATACATACGCCGTGGAGAACCACCAATTTGTGCTCGCACTTGCAAATTTCGGTAGAAATTCGATAAGAGCTTGCAGATAGAAGGTCACTAGTAGCGCCTGGCGCTCTAAAGATTTTGAGAAGTTTGTTTATTTTGATGTTGTCGATTACAACGGCAAGTGACCATCAGTTGACGTGCAGGCAAAATGTCTACTACCTTTGGAAGGACTAGGGAACGTGATCTGTGATATCTACCTAGTCTCTTCGACATCCACATCTACTTCTCACGTCGAAGCTTCCAGTCATTGCAAAGCCTGTACCACCATGTTCCGGAACAAAAAAACCTTCAAAATCCTATGGCACTCTGGACACTGTCTGTCGTGTATAAGTTCTTAACTCGAGTCATTCTTAACAATCTTCTTGAGAAACGAATTTGCTCCTGATGTACCGTGCACTGCAGATGCTCAGTGATTATCTCAAAGTACTCCATTTCTTTATACTTGGGTCGGAAAATCAGTATCCATCACTACGATGTGCCCAGGGAGCTATCAATAGGGTAATTTCAGAAGTATCACCTTTTAATAATTTTGAAACCGACCTTCATTTAACCACGGTACTATAATAACCAATATGTATTTGTATTGTAGAGCTTACACGAGGTTGATAGAGATGTTTATTCGGCTAAGTCACATCTTCTTCATCAGAGCCGACGGTCCTTGTTAATGCTCCACAGCTGTTCCTCTTCTCGACGTGGCATCTTCGTCTTTCAGCGAACCGGATCAGATGAATATGCCGACTGAGCATATGAGAGGGAGAGAGAGCTCAACGAGATCTGAGTGAATGAAGCTCTGATGAAGACGAAGAAGACGAAACGTTAGCTGAATAAACATCACTATCAACATTGTGTAAGGTCAATAATATAAATACAATATCACCTTTGAGTCCTATGTGCGAAAATATATCAGTTATTATGACAAAACTTGAAAACCACAAATTAGATACACTACTTCATTTAATAAAATATGGACAACAGAATGTTCCAAAGATTTGATGCCTCTTAACTACAGAAAGCCGCCGTGAACTGCCAATGACGGGAACGCATCATCTTAAGAGCAATAGCGGGAGGCCACAATTCTTCACTAATGTCCTGTAAGGAAAAGGTGAAGTTCTTCGACTTTCGAGAGACATCAGGATCCATGACTATCTACTTTTTCATGAAAAAGGAACGAGTGGAGGATTTTCTAGCTCTCGGTCGTGCTCCTCAGCAACCGTGAGGCCATTTGGCTAAGGATCTGTATTTTATGCAAACACAGATATAGAGACGCTCACTCTTGTTGTTCTACTAGATGAACCGATCACACCAAAATCAAAACAAGAAAAACCTCTAGTCTTCTTATTCATGAACGACACAGAAATAACGTTTAAAGGATTTCATACTATTCGGCGTGAAGGTAAAAACCAATGAAGGTGAGAAGCAAAAGCTTAGAAATGTCCAGCGTTATTGTGGATGGTTATGCACCTCTTGTGAGGATTCCAATTAGAGAGGTAATAACGCAACCTCCCATTTCAAAATTCGACATTATACAAATGTTTTATATTTCTTGGAATGGAAACGAGTGAAGAATAAGCCGTTCAGCGTTGATACATTTTTGAGCGATGGGAAGTGTACTCAAGTCCATCCGTAGCACAGTGGGAGTGATTGGATGCAAATTTGGTCTATACAATGACTTGCCCTATCAGTATATTCAGGCAGCGTTTTATCCTCACAGATAAGTTTAGTGTCAATTTCCCAACCTCGGAAAAATGGAATGCTCGGTGAATCCTGGGCAAAGGATGGAACCGGAGACAGACTTGACACTAGATTTAAGATTCAGCAATAGATTTAAGGAAACCTTTAACAACTCTGCTGTGCGGGCCCCTATGTTTCTTAAAATGCGTTGGAAATTCATCCATTCACTTCTCTATTGCTCATATATATTGCGTGAATGGAATTTTTATTTAATAAATCTACGATCATGTTTCCACCATACGAACTTCTCGGACACTGCTCACACTGAACTGGGCATTCAGGATTCGTTGCTGAAATAGCTTTGCGTGATATTTAGCCTGTTTTTAGATAGTTAGAAAAACATAGATAGTAAAATTTCGAAAGGAGTTTTACATGTGGCGTTGTTCGGAATCCTCCGTGACCTCGATTAAGACGTTCAGATGAAGGACGAGGGTTAGGTATCTGGAAAAAAGGTATATACCTAAAAAGCAGCAAAACAGTTTTCGTTTTCGTAAGGAGTAAATTTGGAAAGAATTTCTAACAAACGGTAATGTTTCTGTAAAACATTAAAGCATCAAAACGACTATTCTCATTATGCGTGGTTTTCCAAATGTGGAAATGGGTTAGCATAGCTTTCAAATCTCGTCAACGTATACGCTTTGTTCCTTCGCTAACTCTCAGACATCAAACCATAAGGCACATGAATGATAATTCTGTCCATAGATAAAGAAATTCCAGCAGAAGCTGGTTTTAGCAAATGCTAGCTTAGTGGCTTCATAAGGGAATTTCTCACGAGGTCAGCACCGCTCATGTCAAGAACATTCAACTGAACAAACTTAAGCACATACGTCTCCATCACCATACTCAGTGACGTACTGCCTTTGATGATATGTCGTAAGATAGGCGACGGCCGCATTTTGTAACCTGTTCATATGGCATTCATGCGCTGTGAGAAACCACTCGATCAATACATTCATCTCTTCATTATGCTAAAAATGAAGTGCTATAGAAAACAAACACAGAGCTACAACACAGTCTTATTCAGGAGATTCGTAAATAAATTATAAACAAGCTCAACTAAACAAAAATCAGCTGTGCTAACTCGATGCCTGACATCTCCTAAATACCCATCTCTTTTGACTGTTGAAACAAAAACAAGTGATTCTACCACCGGTGATTTGTAAAATCAGAACAGTATGCTGGTCTACAACGTCACTACCGTCCGGAGACTGCCATAATCAACAGCACACAAAAGTCCTTCATTGGGATTGTTTAGTTTCGAGAAGTACCCACCTCAATTACGTTCATGTAACTAAGTTTTTCCACTGCAACCATTAAACCGTTAAGTTGCATAACGTCAAGCCTGGAAGAAAATAAGCTCGTTCCGTTCATTATTCCGCATTCCTTCGCACAAAGAAACCTATTCGCGAGATTGTAGATCTCCTTTGCGAGTGATGGAGAGAAGGACGCGGGTGCCGAAAAGGTCGACGTTACCATGTATGCTATGACCTAAATTGATGCATGAAATACTCGACGATCAAAAAAAAATAAGAAAGCTCAGTTTGCGTATTCACTTGCCGCGAATTTTAACCATAATTACACCTTTCAAGATTAATCTTATACGAAATTTATCATCAAATAACTTTTTTCCCAGCTCATACCCTACTCTAACACTTAACCATTTGCCCAACCACACAAGCCATTTATAAGGCGCGAAGCTAGAATTTTCTAACCTGTAAGCTTCTAATTATGGCAACACCAGTTGCACCATTCATAACCAAGTTGCTCAAATACGAGTCAGTAATATCTCCATCTTGCCACTTTTGATGCAAGCGTAGTACGCTCCATAGATTCAAAGACCATCATGTTTTCCTTCTATGATTTTCTCGAAGAGGTCGCAATCGCTAACACTTCTTGTCCGCTGGTCGTTAAAACTCATCATTTCTCCGCCCCACCTAATTATCCACTTCCCAGTCACCCGATTGCAATTTTGTGGCCAAAATTGGGTATAACGTACAAAATTTGGCATGAATAGAATACATATACGAACATACAAAAGTCATGGATTCTGCAAAGATGAAGTAGGAAGTCCATACTGGAAAGCTACACGCGCTTCAAAGCAATTACAAAATTCTTTGCTCTTTTACAACCCCAAATTCGCCACCTGAGGACGCGCCACGTTTCCTAGCGATAAGCGTGGGCGAGATACGTAACCGCTAATCTACAAAGAAAGAAGTTTAAGAGCTCTTTTTAGGCTTCTCTTTGTCGTAAAACGATGACGATATATGATGTTTTACTGGATAAAAACATTAGGTTTTCAGAAATAAACGATCGTTTTTAACCATACTGTTCAAAATGTCACAACATGCTTCAAACAAAACTTCACTAGTCGAAACGAATCTTCACACTTTTGCCAATGAAAAAGAGAAAAAAGTTTGTTTGATTTATTTGCATAAAATTCTAATGTTCTAAAAGCGATTAATTCGTTAAAGGTATCTTTTGCGTCATCGTAGTTGGTGAAGCATTTCTAGCGCAGGAAATTGTCAATGTGTTCGAACATGTGAGAGTCGGTATGCGAGAGGTCTGGTGAATATGGCGGTTGAGGCAAAGCTTCGTAGCCTAAATCGTTCAACTTCTGCAGCGCTAGTTCCGCAAAGTGAAGCAAGCCGTTGCCGTGAAGAAGGATTGGTTCTTTTCTATTAATTAATGCTGGTCGTTATTGTTGGAGTTTACAGCACATTTCGTCGATTTTTGGCAATAGTTCTCTGCCGTTATCGCTTAGTTCGGATTCAAAAACCTCTGATGAATCAGCCCAGCTGGAGACCACCAAACCACCATAACCTTTTTTGGTGCAGTTCTAACCATTGGACCGAACTTCGCCGGATGTCGCACAGAATCCACTTCTCGTCGCACGTCACAATTCGATCAAAGAAATGGTCGCTTTGTTGCACAGAATGAGAGCAAAATAAGAATAAGAAACACTTCAAAACGGCGATTATGTCTATTATCGTTTAATTCGCACCGCCCCCACTTGTCAAGTTTTTCGTCTCTACTATGCCATTCAAATGAGTGGAAATTCTTCATGTGCTTACGCCAAGCTGTTCTGCAATCTCTCGAACAGTTGTTCGCGTGATTGCTTCTGCTAATGCTTTCATTTCGTCGTCGTCAAGTTCATTGGGACGTCCGCGGCATTCCTTATCTTCGAGGTCGAAATCACCAGATCGGAATTTCCGCAACCACTGTTGATTCACTGACACAATGTTCACGCCGAAATTCATTACTGCTTCGAGTCATCTGCTGCACTACGACCGAGTTCGACCTTGTTAAAAAAAAATTCGACGAAAATTCGTCTTTGACATCGAAAGTTGAAAAGCTCAAATTTGGTAAAAAAAATTTAAATTTTCACAAAACATAAAAAATCGGTTTAAAAGCATAAAATCGGTTTTCTAGTGATATATTATGTTGCGCGGTGCAAAGGATGTTTTATTGGTAAAAATACACTAAAACAATAAGTAATTTAAACGATCATTTATTTCTGAACCACCTAATGCCAGTACCATTCAATGAATTGCAATGTTTAAATTGAATAACCAAGTCTTGGGAAAAAAATTGCATAGAAAAATAAATTGGCTTTTTTTTAAAGAGGTGAGCAGAATGGGCAGAAAAATGGGATCCAGTGGAATCCCACGAGTAAAAAATAGCCTTTCTTTTAAAAAACAACCGTTTTTGCAGCTTCGACAGCCACATCAAAAAATTCCACTTTCTCCGCCTCTCGTCCCGTTCCATTGAAGAATTCACGAAAAAATGGAGAAGAAAAGTAGAGTACTTCTCTGGATGCAAACATCTGTCCGTCACGACACACGATTGCGAAGTTGTGGGAGGACCTAAACATCCAAGCATACGGGCGCACACTATCGCCGTTATTCTGAACTATACATGGGACTTACTTTTTTGTTTGTTCGTACGTCTATAACTTCTTTTCAGAGCTTTTTGATCACATACGTTGCAGGGACCGATTGATTAGGAAGTGTGTTACCAGAAGGACCTGAGTTTGATTACTCACCTACTCACCGTGACCGCAACCCATGGAAAGGGGCACCCAGGGCTTATTCGAAGCATGACAGGCTATCCTTAGCAGCCATAATGAATGTATTATTGGGCATTGCTGAAGTTCCACTATGAGAAGACATCGTGAAGCTAGATATGAGAATATGTTCAAGACGGTCAGCACTTATTTTTCAACTTAATATGAGTTACAGTTTGGTAATAGTTGTGTTTATAGAAGGCAACCACGTCGCGCATCTCTGCGGGGTTGAGAAATTGATAATTGACTTGTCTGAGAAACTCCTTCTGGTCTACAGAGGCTGGTGATTGCCTGTGATGAACACCTAAGAGAGCTCTAGCAGGACTATCTCAACATGACCGAAGGAACATACTCGATCAGTAATCATTAACAATTCATAGCAACCAGTTGTTTTATTAATGTAAGTCGCTAAGTACATTTTATGCATCCAGGATAAGTGAGCTGATCATCTCTTGATTGCATCACACTCTAGGAGTGAAACCGAGATAAAGAAGATGAAAACAACGCGACAGAGGAAAGTAATGGATTTCAAAAATGACGATGAAGAGAGCCAAGATAGAGCAACAAGCAAGTATAGAGAGCAGATTTAGAGAAATGCGAATGTGGAGTTTGAGAAGATAAGAAGAAGGCCAAGGAAAAAAAGATGTGAGCACGAGAGCAACTGGAAAGAAAGAAAGCAGTTCTTAGCGACAATTTTTAGGCAAAAGGTGGAGCAGAAAGTTTTTGGAGACAACCTGCAAACTGCTAGAATCAGTGCGCTGATTTCCACGACCTTTTCCTTATGCCAAGCAATTCTACCAATGCAAATACACACTTATCGTCAAGTAGTCTAAATCGCCAATCCGTATGGAGTGGAGTGGGCTGAGCGAGTTGGTCCCATTCCGTGATTCTGAACTGCGATGGAGAAATAAATAACGTGGTTGTGATTTCGCACATGCGACCTTAAAAAAATTTTTAAAAATCAGACTTCCTGGTAAGTAACTGGTGTCTACTGTAATAAAGGATGGAAGAAATACCCGCATATGTAGAAGTGTGATAAACTTGTACTAATGTGGTGCCGATACCGGAACTATGCGGTACCTTAAATCCTTGTGTTCGCTCATTTGGTGACAGAACTGCCGTATACGGCTCAGGTTCTAATAACTCTAAAAATTAGGTCGTTCGAAGAAAATATGGTTCTCTAATGGTTTGTAAATTTACTCGGATCTCACCTTCTTCTGTTTGGCGATCACGAACTTTTAATAGAAAAGTGCACTTGGTAGCCTCAGCAATGTGTTCTCTGAACATAGCAGGACGAAGGCGAAGCTGAACAGAGGGTCTTCTGCTAGTACTCTTTTGATCAATTCATAGAGGCAAACAAATTGCTGAAGCAGTTCACACATTTTTTATACTGGTCACAAATAACATTAATTAACAGTTTGACATCCGCCGTGTTTACATTAAACCAAGACTTATCGGCTAACTCATCCAGCTATTAATTAATCTTTTTCTAGTTACTTTAAAAAAAACAAGTAAACCTTAATTGTGGAGCAAGAATAACTTGTAAACCATCTAAGTATTAAAATAGTATCACTTCGAACCCTTTTCATTTGCATCGTGATAGAAGCACAGTTGTTCGAGTTTTTATTAAAATGTACAGAAATGTAATCAACATAGGGTGCAGTTTATGTGCTCCTGCCAGCTTAACAGAGCGCATGAAGCGAGTAGAGGAGCGTAAAATTTACATTGGATCATTGATTTAGTCCCACCACGTCCTCCGCCCTTCGGATTCCGTAAACAACTCAAGAATCCGTGATCTTCACTAATTGCCTCATCATGAGACGCCTAATTTTAGGTCGAGCAAAGACTGTGTATGAGTCGCTGGTTCCACTGGAAGCGTCCCAGGACACCTAACCCAGGATTGAAAGCAGATTGAATCCGACCAGCATTCAAAATTGTTACTAGGACGAAAATCCTCAAGAAACAGGCAAAACACATATGCAAACAGGATTCGAAGGTCTCCATGGATGATGGAGGTGAGGAAACGAATCGAATTCAAGTTCTAGGATATGCTCATTATGAAACATATAATATGCGGCCTTATGTGATGAAGAAAGAAATAAAAAAACATCTGCATTAAAATCAATGCGCGTTAGTAGGGTTATGCTGAATAAGAGACGAAATTCCATTCCATTGTCCAACTTCATTTGTGCTGCAAAATATCGGAAGTACAATAGTAAATTAGCGCGATTTTATGATTGACACTATAAAAACGTTAAGAGCTTTTCATAGGACCAGTTTTCACATATACTGTGAGAATCTCACTGCTTCCGGTTTTCCATTCATATCCTCGCATCCATCATCAACGAAGGTCTTCGAATTTTTTTACATGTGGGTTCGTTTGCTACTTGAAGACTGTCGTCTCCTTCATGAGTGCCTCTAAATGTTGGTCCAGTCGATTCTCCCCGGAGTCCAGAGGTAGCCATACTAGAGTGTTCCCACAGTTGGATTGCAAAAAGTAAGCCCTTTCTGGATAAGTCTGATACCATCTTTCCTGGCCCGGAGGGACGAGAGACTTGGTGAAGTCGGAGTTGGCTTAAACCAACACTGTGCTTCTATTGAACGGCATAATTAACACTGCCCTACCCACCATTTGCATTTAGAATATTTAGAATATTGCTTTCGAAGCAAACTGTCGTGATGAATTGTCTGGTATGGAAGAAGAACTGGCGGGAAGTAACCCACAATAGTAAATGTTCAAAAATTTAGTGCCGTATCACTCAGTTACGACAGGTTATAAGTATAACTTCAACAATTTTCTTTTGCGTTATCAATCGGTCAACCGCATGCGGGTTTCTGCATGTGCACGTTGATGTATCTCTACGGCAGCCTGACTAGCACGTTAAACGATTTGGTTTAAATTATCCAAGGGTGCATGCGATTCACGGCGAATCATCAGTAGATTCCATATTCGCGGAAAAGGGGATACCCTCGTCCAAGATACTTAACTCTATAAGCCATAACGTTTTTAGCATCGCCTCCATTCCCCTGATTTTTCGCTTGTTCAACTATTTGGATATTTTGCAGGGCTTTGATTACAATTGCGATGGCTGTATTTAATAGCCGAAACGCCTAGCTCGAACTAGTGAACACATCGTAGTTACGAGCTTTAGGCTAATAGGTATTTATTTCGAAGTAGCATCTACTTTTTAATGAAGCTATTGTAGTAGTACCTGCACCTCTCTGTTTCTTAAACCTGCCCGACGAAATGCACCAAACGTATCTGGTCCGACGCGGATCTCCATAAAATAGAAGTGAATAAATAATACCCCGCTAATTTAGTGAAGAAACAAAAAACTCACCAATCATGTATAACTGGCCCTTCTATAGTTGAGAATACATCGATTTCCCTAATAATGCCCACAGACGGCTGAATTGGAAACTTCCAGAAGTGAATGAATATTAAGTCTTGTTCAATGCTTGTAGACATAACCGCAGATTGTTGACACTTAACTAGGAATGATCATTACCACCCTAAAATGGTTTTTCTGAATTTTAGTATCAAAACGTCTTTATGATAGATAATCAGAAGCTCCAGCCTAATCTTTTACGCTCCACAATCTCCATGGCAAACCTCAATCATCCTGTTGGGAAGAAACCACCAGTTTTTGATGTGAATTCTCCTACATTTCAAAGACGGGCATTTTTTTCAAAGAACTGAACTGTACATTTCGGCAGATTATAAATGTAAAGAACAGGTATTAAGCAAAAGCTAATACAATGTGATTTCGACTACAGCTCCAGTTTAATTGGGTTCAATGCTGATTTTGCTACTCAGATCGTCACCGTTGACGAGTGATTCCTGATGGCACCGTTAGAGTAGAAAACTGGCTAAGGGAAACACAAAGCAAGGCCCCGGTTGCAGTGGTGGACAGCGCGTGAAGTCCCAAAAAGAGTAATCGCGGGTTCGAAGTGCACCTGAGGTTCCGAGGTTTGCTCATATTTCACCATCCTTGTGGTTGTAATCCATTTATTACCTCGCCATAAAACATTGTGATTATAACAGTTCCCAGGATCGATTTTCCATTAACCTCGGCATTGCATTATGAATTCGTCGTTTTCTCTCTCAGTAATCGCGAGGTTGTTAAACAGCATACGTTTACTTCCATACAACAACACACATACAACATAACCGTAGCTGACGTTTCGGCAGAATTATCTCCTTCAGACCCGCGCTTTTTAACTTTTTTCCTCTCTTTTCACCCTTGTCGTCGAACCGAACTCGACGAAGAGTCGTCCGCAATATGCGACTCTGAGCGGCTGTTCTTACTCGGTGGAAGATAGGTGAAAAAAGCGGCTCTGAAGAAGGCGATTCTGCCGAAACGTCAGCTGCGGTTGTGTCGCATGTGTGTTATTATATGAAAGTAAACGTATACTGTTTAGCAACCTCGCGATTACTGTGATTATAAATATTTCAGAAGACATCATTCAAGCGCTCTCTGCACGGAGCGCGGAATTTTCGATGTGGGTAAAGCATTAAGAAGCATTTCTGCAAAATAACAGATCGCGTGGGGACCTGTTGAGTCAGAGTCCTGAGGGCAGCGTTACGTGACCTTTAGCTAATTGGCGGGGTCTCTGAGAGGACCTATGCTTCTTTCCTTTTGTGCAGATCTTTTTTTCGATTTTTCACCCTCTCACTAAGTTTTTCATGAACTTGGCTTTTTGCGATAGACGTGACCTATTCTGCTTCGTGGTTCACTGGGCCCTTAAAGCATCGTCTCTATTACACTGGCACTCCGGGAAAAGTAGCTCCAATACTTTTTTGCTCATAAACCAGTAGGGAGTAATAAGATCTTCATTCTCTTCATAGCTTAGCGCCATCTATAGGTACAGTCTACTTCACGCGCATTGAATTTCGCTTCATAGTCCAGCAGTCGTGTCTAGATGCGGATGCAACGAACTATAGACATTGACACTTGTCCACCTAATGATATAAAAAAGATAAAGCTCTCGGCGACCCCGGAAGGATGGAAGGCTTGTTGGGCCATGGGCGCGGGGATTGATTCCACGTGTGTTTCGCAGCGGCGCCTCTAAGCACTGCGCCACGCGCGCCCTTTGTGACTTAATGATATAGGTGATCTATCTTCAAGATTCTTAGGCTTTTGGAACCAACGTTCTTTTAGTTAGTCCACCATGATCTTTTTCGTAATACCACGGATCCATACGTAGATTTGAAGGAATGGACGCTGGGCAGCAGAGTAGAAGTTCGGGTCAATTTCGTTAACACTAAAAAAAAAACTCGTTCCAGAGTATCACGAAATATTGTTAGCATAGGCCATGTGTCGTTTGCTGAAGCGCGATGCTTTGGAAAAGCAGATAAGACGATTACACGAAACATACGAGCATAAAAGAGTGGTAAGTAATGGAGCCCATCAAGAAACAATACGCTGGTTCAACCTCCTTTCCAACGCCCTCTTCGAACACACGTGGGAGTGCCTCACCCCGGCTATCTGTGTGATTGCAAACAGATTCGACTCGACCTGCTTTTACGACACTCATAAGGAAGACGAAACCCTCAAGACGAATGATAATAATAATGGTACTAATAAAAGGATAAAAGGATAAAACTCTCGTGGTTGGTCAATCCCTGAGTGATGCGCCATGCATTTGACTTAATTAAGCATCGTTAGAGGTGATTGAATGCATGTCTGACATTTACAAAAACTCGTAGTGGTCTATTGATTGAGGCAGTGCTGCTATCCTCCCAGATAAGTCTGGTACCAATGCGTCGACGCCGGAGAGATGGAAGGTTTGACGAGCCACGGACGCCGGGATCGCTCACGTGTGCATTACAGAGCGCCTCCGACCACTACGCTACGCACGCCGTAATAGTAATAGTAATAATAATAATAATAATAATAATAATAATAATAATAATAATAATAATAATAATAATAATCACGACCACGGTGCTGGCTCTCCTCTGCTCTGTACTCCGCAAGCCTTTCATCCATCCGTGGTCGGGAAGTTGGTACCAAATTTATCTGGGAAGTCTCTACGCTCTCCAATTCAAGAGAAATTGCTCTATCTCAAGATTCCATGTATGATAGACTCAACCAGCAGTCAACGACATTCATGATGAAAGGAATATCTCAAGCAGCAGCCGAAGCTACAAGTAAAAAGCTGGCAGAATTTCGTGGATGACAGATGTTGAGAAACGAATCGAGTGCGAGAAGTGTTGGGATCCAAACACAACGTGTGAAAGATGGCTCGTGTATAGAAAAACACTTGGTAGTAACAATAGAAAATAATAATATTGATTAATAATAAAATTTTTTGGTTTAATTGGCAGAGTTCACTTCTGAAACATGTTGGTGTGAGGTTAAAAGCTGCCGTCATTCCCGTGACCTGCGAGTGGAAATCAATTCACGTCGGTCACTACCTGTTCAAAATAGCACTCGATAGTTAATTCTGTGTGGCTGCTACTTGGAACGATTCGTAATTTTATATAGTTATGACGAGCTAGTTCTTAGTGAACACGATAATTTTTCAATGACTGGAATACTTGTGTCGAAAACATGGCAGAGTGCTGTGTCAGATTATCAACCTAACATGGCAGAGTTATAGAAAAGACTTTGCAGACTTTTTGGGTGTACTACTACCCAGTATATTGTACTATAGTCCACCAAGCAATTGCATTGCGCTTGGAAGTGGGAAGTGTTTTGCACCCTATGTTGATTACATTTCTGCACATTTTACACATGGCCATTCCAAGCGGTAACCATAATTCATAATGGCGTTTACGAAGAAACAACGGCCAATCACCAGTCAAATTACTGGTCAATAAACTCGATCATAGAAGAAATTTCATACATTATTAAGAGTGGAGAAAATCTGTCCATGGCCACATCTGACATGATATGCACGTTGGACAAGCTATCGACTGACTACAAAGAGTAGGTTAAAGGAAGCTCTGTATAGCAAAATTCTTACACTTTACGTTTTAAATTTCGCGTGATCAGTCATCACATTTACTGTGCGGATACCAGTACTTCTTGCTTTCGATTCACTTTCCTCACATCCATCATCCACAAAGATCTTCGAACGCTCCGCGAGTTGTTTCGTCTGCTGCTTGAGGATTTCGTCTTCCAAGTGAAGGTCGTAGAATGCTGGTCCAGTCGATTCTCCTTACAATGTTAAATTTTTTATTTATTACTTGCTACGGTTTTTCACGGGAAGGTATTTTGTGAAATACAACCACAATGATGCTGAGATATTTATAAAACTGCGGAGGTATCTGCGGTGAGGATCGAACACGCTATTAGCCTTTCAGGGGGTTAACGCGTTCATCACCACACCATGCGGGTCCTTCGTTTCGCTTTTCTCTCAGCTAATTTACCAGTGCCATCAGCAATCACTAGCCAACGGGATCGATCCGTGTTCCACAAATCGGCATTGAACCCAGTTAAGCTGAGACTGAAAGACCCGTATGGTGATGTGGTGGACGCGTTAGTCCTCGGAAAAAGAAATAGCGTGTTCGATTCCCAGTGCAGACACCTACGGTCCGGAGTTTTGCAAATATCTCAGCATCATTGTGGTTGTATTTCTCCTCTTCCTTGCAATCTTGAGGATAGCTGGAATATCTATCTTTCTTCCTTTACTGCTATTAATTGAGCTTAAAGTGCTTAAAAAACTCAAAATACATTCAGACAGCAACAAAAGCGAGGTCGCCGAAACGTCGGCCATCTAGTTTCAAGAACACCTGATTTAGCTCAACAAGGACAGCTCCTCACATTTAAACTTGAAGACTTTTAACAAAACGGCTTTAATTTTAAGTACGGGTGGAACGGCCTGATCGTTCAGCTCCACGGAAAGAATGACGGAGCAATGGGAGAGACACGGTAATAAAATCACTAGTCCTTGCTGCACAATAATAAGCGAAAAAAAAAACAATGAATTCACTGAGCTATATTTCCTTAGGCTATTATGCTAATTCGAGGTAGGTAACAAGTTTAATTCAGCCAACGTTTCGGCGTCTTCATAGAGTTATAGTACGGGGTATGAAACGGCGAACCCAGCACGGTCTAACTGGAACAAACCCATCGCTGACACCACTTATCCTCCCGAGTAGGCCTGACCTACAACCTGTGAATGGTCGATCTGATCTCACCTTCCTCAATCTCAGCCCTCTTCGATAGGCAAAACATGTTGCAGTTACCACCAAATTTGCACACTTGAATTGCCGCCGCTATCGACTGATTGGGATATCTCCGCCCACTTCCGGTCACTTCCGGCAGGTTCCTGGCGGCATTCTGTCGTCTTCGTAAATGATGACTTATGGGTACTTTGTTGTATAGCTTAATAGTAGGTTTCTTTTCGTTTGTTGACCATCTTCAACAAGTTTCAGTCGGTTTCATTTATAGTGAAGTGTCCATCAACTGGTAGTTCCTCCAGTATTGTTCACTCCTCACGAAACATTCCATTCCTCCAGGCATTTCTATAACATGCAGTAGTGAATCTCAGTTTCTTTTCTTCCTTAAATCCTGAGGTAATCGATTCTGTTTAGGATTATCACTTTGAGTGCTAATTTCAATGCTGAGTATTCACAGTGTTTTCGACATTTTGTCAAAGGTTGACACTTACCCTGCCGAAGATTTTGTTGATCGTCTAAACTTTGGAGTGACTGTTTATTTATTGGGATTTTTCGTATTGATAACTGGTTCCAAACAACATTTCGGTAACCCCATTCAATGCATGGCACCACCCGAAAGTCCAGGTAACTGAGTTAATTTGTTGCATTCACTCAGTGACACTAACGTGACAACTGGAGGCTACTAGTTTCATTTTATCCCTGTTACAGAATCTTGGGTGAATTATTATCACGATTATTGCTATATCCAGGACAAACTCAGGATATTCGACATGAACGTCTATAAATCCGTCGTGTATGAAACAAGACAAAGGTACGGATATAGTTAAGTGCTATTTGGCACTAGACATCACCGACCGCCTTAGTTCCTTAGAAGGCCGATTGCGGAGCTTTATTCATTACAAATATTCTTTAGGGCCGGAACTGATTATACACCCATCGGAAGATTTCCGAAAGAAGACTCCTCGAAATACTGGTCACCGCGTGTGATGTACTATCAGATAGGTTTTTATTTCGAAATCACACTCTATTGCAAAGCTCTGGTAGGTAGTTTTTCTATTAGTATGGTCGTTTTCAAAGTTTGGTGAGTTTTAAGCCAGTTAACCTTATTCTTTATCTATTGTGAACATGCTATTTAACATTAGGCTAACCAAGCAGCAGTTATCCCAGGCAGGGTTGGGTAGCGGGAGCCAAACTGCTGTGGTCGTGAATTTGAGGTAGCACAATAGGAAAACGTACCTCCCTCTTATGCCCTAAAAGGGTTATTCATTTTAAGGATTTTGATGATAGAATTAGTTACAGTTCAGTTCTGCCATTAGATGTTTAAAATCACGTCGAATTATGCCTACATGTATGGAGTGAAAGCTGTCAACTCGGTGGTATTCCTCGTTCGTGCTAATCTTTTCTATCACACAGACAACGTTGTGATTTCTGCTTTCTTAGTTAATCTAAACCTCATCTAGAAGCAATGTGGTGACATTGCTCCACCACTTTTCCGACGTTGTGCTCAACTAGAATTAGGCCCTAAACTTTAATTTCGAGCTCGAAAACTGTCAGAAACGTTCTTTTGTCACACTCACTAAACATCTACTGCTGTACTTGCCAGAAAAGCTCAGTGCGCCAATTCTAGAGGTAGTCAAATTCCCTGGACAACGTTACTGGTTCTTCTCAATCTTTAGTCTTGACTAGTTTCTTTTTACTACTCAACACATCTGTGCGACGATTCCTACTCATTCAGCTTTTTGATGTGTTCAACATCCCAATGCTACCAACACTCCTCCGTCTTAGCCTGAAATTTGCATTGACTTGTGTTCCTTTCGAAGTTCTCATAAAAACAACCACGGGAATTATACATTAGTGCCTTTGATGTCTTCATGTTACTGACTTTATTCAAGAAACATTTAGAGTGGATTCAGCATAAGATTTTAGTACTTCGTTGATATTCAACAAGTCATATCTGGGTTGTCCCCATATAGGATTTTCCATCAGTTACATGTGGAATCAACGATTCCTCTGAAAGAGAGGTTATTTTTAGAAGTACAAAAATGCGGTTGTATGACTGCAGAGTAGTACTCGTTCGTATATCAGAATCACTGACAGCTTAGGTACAGCGATGTGCTGTCGCCTGAACTCCGAACCATCATCTTGTTTTGAGTCCGATTTGTTCACATACCTTTTTCAAGCCTAGTTTATAAGTTAGTGAAACAACACTTTATACATATCTGTAGTTTTATCTATCTGTAGTGATTTATAAATATTTTAATTGCTAATTTAATTCTAAATTTTAAATTTTAATTATTAATATTCTTTAATAATTATCTGTAATTTTATAATTTCGTTAAAAGGTTACTGAACACTTTGGTCTTTCCGATAACTGCTAATAATTTCTCGACAATTTTTTTCTTTAAGTTTCTCTTTGATTTAATTTTTCTCAGTTCAAGCAGAGTCGCCGCCGACATTAACGATGGATTTGGGACAACATCATGTCTCGTTGGAGGGAGTTATGCTCCTTTCTATCACTTTCTTCTTTGACATACGAGTTTCGACAAAAAAGGCGAAAAGCGCGGCTCGTGTGTGTGTCAAAGAATCAGACCTACGTCTTCTTAGAATACGAAAACTTTCACTTTATTGTTGCACATATCCGATGGCGAAACAAAGGGTAAGCATGGTGTGGTGGTGAACACGTTAGCTCCCGGAACGGGTAATAACATGCAAATATCTCAGCATCATTGCAAATGAAGAACATTCTAGTATTGTCGATCCTAATGTATTCTACTAAAATACGTTTTAGTGGGTGCCTTATGTGCTATTTCTTCAAGCTGTCTTCTTTTTGATTCCAGAATTTTTTTGGAAATTGATTGGTTCACACTGGTGTCATGGTTAGTTTTCTTTAGCGCTTTGCTTTCCTTCACAGGCACTTTCACGTTGTTTAGCGTTTTTCGTACAAATTTGACGTATAGAAAATTGTTGAAATAAGATGTTATTCAAAACTTTACTGATTTCCAGTTAATGTTTGTTGTCTGCAAACACTCCGGCGTTCTGTATTAAGGTATTGATCTAGAAACTGCCATTATTGAAGCCAGAAAAATACGTACACTTATTGGTGAGGATCGCAGATCAGCTCTCATCAAGCTGGCGAAGTTCATTCGTGATGTGCTAAAGTCTAAGCATAGAAGGTACTTTTTATTTATCACATGTGGCGTGTTTACCAATGGTTAACTGTTTTTCCTCCCAACGGTTTACCGCCTCATAGTGGCTGGGAGGTGTTCCTGGGTGTCGGGCTTCGATGTATAGCAGGGGATTCGTCCTTCTGGCAGGGTCCCCTAAGCTAAGAAGTGGTCCGGCGTTTCCATCAGGAAGCCTAGCTAAGAGTAAGCCACTGGAAATCTCCCTCTGATCCACAAGAACGGCGACTGCTTGTGGTGGTAAGGACCTGGGGCAGACTTTGGCCAGGCTGACTTCGGGACTTCAGAGAACTATTGTGGCTTAACTAGCAAATCTCCGAAAAATGGAGATTATGCTGGCGCTTGCACAACCAGTGAGGACGGGCCATTCAAGTATCAAGTAAACGAGTGACTGTTTTTAACTGTGGGGCCTTCTGTGGCGCAGTGGTCGGAGGCGCCATGCAATACACATGGGACTGATTCCAGCCCTCCTGGTCCACTAAGCCTTCAATCCTCCAGAGTCGGCAAATTAGTACCAGACTTGTCTGGGAGGATAGCAGCGCTGGCTCGATACATTGGTAGACTACTCAATCACCTCCAAACGATGCTTGGTAAAGTCGGCATCGTGCTTGGCACATCCCTAAGGGATTGCGAAAGCGCCGCGCGCCGCGGAAAGCTTTATTCTGTCCTGTTAACTATTTTTAATGGATATAATCTTATGCACTTAAGGCCATTCTTGGGCTCATCTGTTGCCTCTCTTTGCTATGTTATTACTAAATGGCTTGAGGTTGTCAACGGATTTGGACAGTTTTATATGTTATCGTGCTTTGTTGGACAAGGCGACTACTTATGGGGATTTCATGTAAGTTTTTTCTTTCTTGTAGAATTACTGCTGTACTTCTGTTTACGTTTCAAGTTTTTCAGTTGATGGTTACGGTACTGAAGGGTTCAGATGATCCTAACACAGGCGCTTTCCCTAGAATTGTGCTATGTGATGTCGCAAGATTCGTAAGTTATGTTTTCTCTGAATGAACTTGTTGAACAGTTCACTGTTCTATCTCGTCACTAATTGGTCTTCAAATGTTACAGGCGTTAGCAAATCTACATCAGCAGCATATGCAATGCGTATTAATGTTAAATTTCATCAACGAAAAGATCTATACCTTTCTATGGTTCTGGATTGTCTTTGTTTCTATCGCTTCGACCTTTTCTGCCATGAAGCAGACAATAGCACTTTTGCTTCCTGTGTATCGAGGACATATCGCTGATAACTTCTTGCCGGTTTGTTTTCTGTTGCTTTCGTTCTACTCCATTACCTTTTTATTCCTTACTTCAAAGTCTGCTGGTTTCCGTACTTCTTCGCTGTTTGATCAATTTTTATCTTTCTGCTCCATTTCTCCTTTCCTATTCTTTCCTTGGGCAATCAAAATCGCACATCATTTTATTCTGGTCCTTGTATGTGCTGTTGTACCGCCAGAGAATTGTTGAGGGGTTAGTATATCGTTGCTTCTCACAACAAAGCGGTGAGCACTCACCACTGAACATTTTGTGTAAATCCAAATGTTATTGTTATTTATTATTGCCATTTGTTATTACCGTTATCATTGTTGCTGTTATTTGTTGTTGTTCAATTCTTTTTTAGACGCAGGACGTCTTATCCTCTTGTGCTGCTGCTCAGTATGGTATTCGTCCAAGTTCTGCCAATAGCCGAGCCCTTGTTGACTTCTTTGTGCACGAAGTTCTCAGGTAATGATGGAAGTAGTCTTCTAATTCATATTTGTCATTGTCATCCTAACGGTATATCATTTCACAGATGCGATGGTGTACTTCTGTTTTCTTTCATCAACGGGAACGTTGGCGGGCTCGTCACCCATGACATTGCTCAACAGTTGTGGAAGATTACTGTGCAACCCATAAAGTGTGTCCAGTATCCTGTTCTTTTCGATTGCTATTTTATTAACTCATAAATGACTTTAAATTTTTGTGGTAATACCTCATATTAATGTCTATTATCATTTACCAAGTTACGCGCCTTGTTTTATAATCGGTGATGGATGTGGTTCTACGTTAGACGAGTACCTGGACAAGAAAAAGAGTTCCAGTGCCTTGTTTTGGCCAAAATTCACAAAGATGCCGAACACGGTACGCTAATCGCTTAATTTTGTCCTATGCGTTCTTCTTTAAATCAGTGTTTTTTTTTTCATTAGTTTAGACGAAGGAAATAGGACTGTTGTCCAGTGGTCTTGAAGCTGGTGAGCTGCAAAGTGCTTCATTTAGTAACAATAAACATTATACTACTGCGAAGCCCATAGCCCGTATACGTTCTCTCAGCGTTGGAGTAGGTTTCCACTTCATTTATATTGATTCAACTTTGCAAATGTTAGAAGTACTGTATGATTAAGAACTTGGGAGCGCAGTTGCCTACGGCTCCTCTCGAGTCCTTGCCGTTAATTTCGGATGCTTCTACGCAGGCATTCGATGATTCCACGTGCCCCATTCAAAGGTTCTGCTTTCTTTACCTTTTCCTTAGGCGAAACTTATAATGATGAGCACCTTTCAGCCTATATGACTGGCCCACTATAGATGGTCGTCGTCGAATTCAAGCTGGTCCTGGAGTGGCTCTTGTAGAAAATCGCTGTCACGATTCATAGGTTTTTCTGTTTGTTTCTCTATGGCCCGTAACGTAGTAGTCTTTCTTTTCCTCGATGTATTTTGGCAAGGGTTACATACATATAAGGATTATATAGTATTGCCGTTATACGAACTAACCGATCATTCGTCATGCATTATAATAGAAGTCGACAGCGGTGAGACAATAGGTTTTTGTAAGCAGTTTACTAGGCTAATGTATTTATCATGTTTTTTGAACTATCTATGAGAAAATTACACGTGAATTCCTCTTCTTTCAAAATGTCATTGTTTCTCGATCTCGGAATAATCAGGTTTCTAGTGCTTTGGTTCTTTTTTCTTCAGTAATTCTACTTGGTGGTTTCTGCAGCTTATGAACCTACTGTTCTTTCGCCCTCTACAGCAAATCAATTCCATGTGTTTCGTTTCCATCATTGTATATTTCGCTAACCGAGTATTTTGACATGCTTTTAGCCAACGTGGTATGTTCTATGTATCGCTCATGTACTCGACCAACTCTTACGTCCTTATTTTATCCATGTTACGAACCTGAGTTCCTCTTTATCTGTATATTTTTCATATGACTCTGCAGAAGGCTCATTTGTACCTACTCGCTTTCATAGCTCTTGTTATTCTGGTATAGAAGGATTTATAGATGTAATTATCTTTCGGATTTTATGGTTCATATCAGTAACTTTTACAATCAACATATCTCTCATTCTTCATTTCTTTAAGAAGTAACTGTTACCCGTACTAATTCAAAATGGTTATAATAAAGGTGTTACCCTACTGGTTCATATTCTTCAAATGATGTGATTTCTCCGCATCAGCCATGTTTCGGAATTAGCGTTACTTCAGAAGCGTTAAACACTATATTTGTTTGCGGCAAGTGGCAAACAGAGGTACTGTTTAAAGGGGTTGTGAAAGTTGTCTGTTTAGTCAGCAGTGATACTATACTGCTGTAGAAGAGCAGCCAGCGTGATAGCACCGAGCCGGAGAAGATTCGATTATTGAAACCGATATAGTAGCAATGTTCTCGTACATACCTACCTTTCCGGATCACTCCAGTTATCGAGTAAGTATTTCTGGGTAGAACAAATATGTAGTTATGGTTCTATTACTAAGAAGACATGCTGTTCTGTAGAAGCTATGTGGGAGGGGGTATTGTACTGCTGTATCATGAGACATGTAGCCACCCGTCACGATAGGTAGTGTGTGTTATGGTCATTAACATGCTAGGTGTTTAAAGTCATGTTTAGTTATCAATTACAAAGAATACGTGGAATTAAGACGTATTCCCAAAGGAATTTGAAAAATGTGGAAGTCTCCAAAGACTCATGTGATAACGTTGCTTGGCGCTTGTAACATGTGTAACCTACAATACACAGGTCTTTGGTTCAATATTACACCTTGGTCTCACCAAACCTGTCGTTCATACGGAGTCGGCAAATTAGTACCGCGCTTCTCTATAAGGTTAGCAGCACTGTTTTGATACATTGGTGGAGCACCGAAAGTCGCTGTATAGAGCGGATGTGAATTCATACACCCCCAATGAGGTTTGATGAATTCCAATCCATGGCGCATCCCTCAAGAATTGATCAACACGTTGTGGGTTCTTTGGAATGGCTTGTACGGTCTAGTTAATGGCGAGATCATTGCTAGTGTTCTACTCCAACAAGTTTGATTCCTAAAAAAAGCTCTCGGAATTGATCAATCTCTGAGGGATGCGCAATGCATTCGACTTCATAAAGCATCAAGATGATTGAATGCATATTGGCCTTCACAATGAATCGCAGTGACCTACCGATGTATCGAGCCAGTGCTGCTATCTTGCAGACAAGTCTCATACCAATTTGCTGATCCCAGAAGGACCGAAGGTTTAGTGAGCGTAAGGCGCGGGGATCGATCTCATGTTTATTGCAGGGCACCTATAACCACTGCGCTACACGTGCTCCGATTCTTAATGACCACGAATATCTCTGGCGGTTCAGTTGGCCATAGCACATCCCGGGCATCGGCAGAGTGCTTTATGCTAAATTGTGCTACTCTAGCGACTCTCTGTTGTTTGGGGTGTTGTCAATGTAAAAGCAGTAAAGCTATCACTTAACTGAACAAATTGACGTCTGTAATAACAGGAATTAATGAAGCTAATGAGAATTCTGGGTGAGGTTATTCTTGATGGCGTTCTGTGCACAATTGCAATACAAGGCTGGTCGTCGGAGACGTTTTGTGGTATGTTTGTGAAATTTATCTCAACGGCTAAACCATGGTACAAGCATAATTGCCTGTGTGTGATGCTAGTGATACTCTGTAAAAACCTTAGAGAGTACTAAGATTACTCCGTCAAGCAAGTGAGATGGTGCCCACAGCTAATCACGATTCCATTCCATTCAAGGCATATGGCCTTCTAACATGACAATCATATTGATCACTACAGGATACCGCAGTAGCTCTAGACTGGATGGTAAGGAAGATCGAACAGATCAACATGCCGATCGATATCTTTGGCGCGCTGTACGGACGGCCTGAGTCGATGGCGCTGCATTGTGTGGCGCCAGTGCGTTCTCATCATCTTTTGGGGACGTTCCTGTAACGGTGGACACCATTAATGTCCAGTTTTATTTTATCATCACATCGTTGTGTTTCTTTTATCCTTCCGAATAATACGTACAACTTACAACTTATGTAGTTGTTTGACGTCCAAGCCATAAAGTTATTTACTAATGGCCCAGGATTGGCCGAACAGTGCTAATGTCTGGTTTGCCAAATCTGTGCCAGCACACTTACGATTTTATGAACCCTATAGTGCAGACTGCCAATTACTCCTGTTCTGCAGGGTCTATACTTGGGATAAATTCCGGGAAATCAGACACTTTCGGAATGCTGGTGTTTTTAAGAGTGGTGATTGTGTGAAATTAGTGATGTAAATGTACTCTGAAATTTTCGATATCGGTATTTGTCCGTTGTCTTTGGATAAAAAAAGCTCGGCATTTCATTTCTGGAAGCACTTTTGTTGTAATTTACATTTTCTCCGATTTACTCTACTTCGACGTTAACTGGACTCAACACCTCAAATTCTGTTCTCGATTTCTTCTTCTAAACGTCAGGGAGATAGTAGTATTGTTAACTTTTATCCGTTTTGTAGTTTAAGACTTTTCATTTGCTATCGCTTTTTATACAGATATAATACATACTTGGATACTTCGATTGCCCGTCTTCACTGGTTGTGCGAGCCCCGGCACAATCTCCATTTTTCGGAGTTTTGCGAGTATAGCCATTGTGGTTCCCTGGAGTCCTGAGGTCAGCAAGGCCAAAGTCTGCCCCAGGTCGTCGTCACCACAGGCATCCGCCGTTGTGGGTTAGAGGGGGATTTGTCAGCATACGACTACTTTGATACCATGAAAATGGTGGATCCTGGTATTGGCCTACTTTTATCTGAGTTTCCTGATGGAAACGCCGCACTCGTTCTCAGCTTGGGAGATCGTGCCAGTGGATGAATCTCTCGCTGTGCATCCACGACATTCAGGTACACCCAGCCACAGCAAGGCGGTTGAACCGTTGGGAGGATAAGGACATGATGGACTACATATTTCTTCAGAACATTGTTGATGGTCGCTTTTAAACTTGAGCCTTTTATAGCATACTTTTCGTTTGTTCTAAACATGTTACTGAAATGTTATGACAGGATTAGGCAAGTGAAATCTTTGTTATCAACCTCGTGTTAACTCGTCGGTGAAAATCTACGTGTTATTGCAGGTTTTACGTTATTACTAACCACTAAGATAGGGAATTTGGTCGTTTTATCACTTCTTTTGTTCGCCACCCGATATTGCCACAGTTTCTAACATCTGTTCGCCGCGACTTTGTAAAGAATGCAAGCAGCTGGTCAAATCGTTGACCCAAATCAGGTAAGCCATCGTCGATTTGTCTTTTGCTGATGTTGGTTTGTGAAGTCCGACTTCCCAGTACTACTATGCTGCTGCTGTACCACCACATACTGCCGCTCACCAACAGAATGTGCCGTATCAGTACGCTGGAGGATTTCTTGCGGATCCGTATGTGGTGACACCACCTCCTTCACAGAGTGCACAACCAGTAATCATGCCAGTAGGTACGTTGCTTTAGACTTAATACTGACTATTTCGTCATAATATTGAAATATAACGTATTGAATTGTGAGAGAAGAGTTAATATGAAAGACAGTAGACTATTTACAATTGATACTTGCACGGTGTACGGCCAATCTTTGGTGCCGATTTGCAAGAGCAAATTTGCTTACATGGACACTTGGATAGCCCGTCTTCATCGGTTTTGCGGCCTCCAATATAGTTTTCACTTTTTCGGAGCTTTTCTGGCTTAGGCATCGTGGTTCTCTGAAGTCCCGAGGTCAACTAGGCCAGTTTGACCCAGGTCGTAACGACCACAAACAGTCGCCGCCCTTTTGGTTCAGAGAGAGATTTGCCACCATGCGACTAATTTGATACCAGGACGATGGTGGATTCTGGTATTGGTTCACTCTTAGCTGGGCTTCTTGTGAAAGCGCCGAACTTCTCAGCTTGGGAGAACGTGCTAGGAGATGCTGTGCATCACAGCCCGACGTCCTGGAACCTCAGCCACGTTAATGAGATCGCTCACTTATAGGAGTACGAACTCGTACTCTACAATATTTGCTTTTTATTTTTTGCCTACTACAATTTTTATGGCAGGGTATTATGCGAAATACAACCACAAGGTACTGAGGTATATGCAAAATTCCAGACCGCAGGTGTTTGCGGGCACTGTTACCCTTTCCGGAGGCTAAAACGCTCACCACCACACCATGCGGGTTCTTCGTTTCGCCTGTTTCTCAGCTAGTTTTATCGATCAGTGTTATCAACAATCAATTGTCAACGGGATTGACCTGGAGAGGACACACAATAGCTCTACAGTAACATTCCAAAGTCGTTGCCATTACTTGTTTTTCAGGTCATCCAGGATTCATATACATGCCACCACCTAGCACTCCAGTATTCTACTCCGTACCAACAGCTACTCCTGCGGCAGCAACCCCATATTACTATACTCCAGATGTATACGTTCAGCAAACAGTGCCATTACCTCAGCAAGTAATTCATACGCACGCTATTTTGCCCGGTGAAGGTGAGTTTTCTGTTGATTATAAAATAGTGTATTTGATTTTAACACCTTTTAATTATTTGTATATGGGTGAAATCACCTATATATTAATGACCTGTCTCAACGGATAATACAGTCCCATCTCATTCTCCATTCGTTTCTTTCCCGCGTGATCAGCGTGCGCGGTAGTACTCTATTTGTCTTGATGTCGTTTACGAGTACTATTTCGTGATCCAACCACAATGATGCTGGAATATTTGCAAAAGTCCTGACCGCAGGTATCTGCGGTGAGGAAACAAACGCGCTATTACCCTTTCCTGTGGCTAACGCGTTAACCACCACACAAGGAGAGTCTTTCTTTTCACCTGTCTCTTCCTATTTCGTCATCTATACTCCAAATCTGGGTGAATGCATGTTGACTTCAACCATTAACTCATCCGGCCATCGTTTTAGGTCGTCGTTCTAAACAATACTAGCATTCTTAGTTGATAAGTGGCGTCAGTGTTTTATACGCGTACTCGTACTTGTCCAGGTTTTTGAAGACTACTTCCGTTTCATGGATACTTTATGAAAAGGCGATGTCGTTGGTAAAGCGGAAGCTCGCTAGGAGCATTATTGTATTTGACCCATTCGTCTCAATCGAGCGATGCTATCGAGCTGTGTCAAAGGATGGCGAACAGAGTCCTTGGTCGCTTTATCGGGGTAACTTTATCCGTAGGAGTAGGAACAGTTCAATAGAGAAACTGTATTTTCATACTGTAATTGCGATAGAAGTCGATTAGAGTTCTGGTTTATTACCAGTCCTCTCTAACGATCGTTGATAGAATGACATTCGTTTCGACGTTGGCGCCTTTTTGTAATCAACAGGAAAGCAAAATATTGGTATTCCTGTTGGTCAAGTAGGTGCTAGCTGTGATTCGGATTTGGTTCACACGAAAGAATTATTGTTGTAATCCTGCTTGCTCGGTTGGTCGTGATTCTATCGAAATTCTTGATAAACGTGACAGGGTAGTTTTTTTTTGAGATCTTGTGGAGTACACTCAACAAATATGTGACCAAGTGTGTGTAGGTTGTGAGTAGCGCATGTGATTTAAAGGTTCCAGCTCAACCAAAGCGGGCTGTGATTTTATATCCTTTCTGACCCTTGAGTTATGCCTATCGTCATATACTTTACCGCAAAGGACAAGTTGAGTGTTGTTTTTGTGCAGTGGAATTTTTTTTTCTGAAGTGGGTACTATTTATTTGCTTAGATGTTTTTTTTTTCCAGAATCTACATTATTTCAGTAGCGGCCGGTAAGAAAAAGTCGTCTGTCAGGCCGTTGAGCACTTCGACTCCGCTACCCACGGAATTCTCATCTATCCCTGCGCCAATGACTAGTCATATACCGTATGCTGGAAATGTGAATGTCGCTCATTTGAAATATCATCGGTATGTTTTTGATTTTATTCAATGTATCGGTTATCATACTGATTCTGGCCAAAATTACCGCATTAAGGAATATGGAACAGGATGATGTGCTTGCTAATCTTTCCAAGATATCTGTAGTGTCGGAGGAAACAATAGAGGCAGAAAATGAGAAAGAATATGAGGTCGAATCTTATTCTTTATCATAGTATGTTTTTTTTACTGCAGAGTATTTCCAGCATCGACCTGCCAGACAACGACGTCCACCTCCAGTACCTTTCAATTATAAGACCAGAATGTGTATGACTTATGCATCAGGGAAACATTGCGAAATGGGGAATCGCTGCAAGTTTGCCCATGGTCCCGAGGAACTCCGCGTCGCTGACGCCGTAAGTTTTAACAGATTTCTTTTTTTCTCTGAGAAACCAGTTTTCGTTAAATTATAATCTTCTAAATTGTGGTAGAAAATGGGCTTGTGTGGTACATTAGTTGACGGCAGCTGACAATACACATGGCGACATTGGTCCCACACACAAAAACGTGGAAGCCTTCTATCTTTTCGGAGTCGGAAATTGGAACCAGACTTGGTTGGCAGCCTAGAAAAGCTAGCTTTATATGTCTGTAGGTCTTCGGAAGTCACTGAATGTGTCCAAATATGCTTTCAATAACCTCTACGCTATTGACCAGCGTTTAATAATCTACGCTTTTTGACGGGTGAAGTATCAGGAAGTTGTACAAGTTTTACTAAAGAATAAAAGATAAGGTATGCAGCGCTGATCAAGCCCAAAGAGGCGCGCCACTTATTCAATTTCATTAATCATCGTTAGAGGTGACGTGACTCAGTGCATATCTGGTCGATACAGTGATTTGTCATACTCTGCTGATATGTGGAGTGAGTGCAACTATCCTTCCAGACAAGTTTGGTAGCAATTTGTCGATCCCGGAGTGATGGAAGGCTTGATGAAACCGGGGCTCGTGATCGAACCAAGAACCTTGTTTGCATCGCTGGCACCTCTACTCACTGCGCTACAAGCACCCACAATTTTTAATGCTCTTCCAAATTAGGGAACCGTATGTGTAAGGACGTATTTTGTAAATTTGCTGAGAAAAAAAAATTGTTTTTGGTTGTAAATGCATTTTGTTTATTTTTTTCGCGATTCTATTTACTCGCGAGCCAGTGGTAAAGATATGCTCGCATTACTTTATCATATTGGTGACATATCCTAGAACAAGCTTGTATTTTAGACACAACGGATCCCTAACGCAAGATATAAGACAAAGCTTTGCAAGAACTTCGGTCCTTACGCTTCCAACTATTGTCCGTACGGTCTTCGTTGCGAGTTCATTCATCCGAATGACAAGGAGTATGCTTTAGTGGTCAGTCATCAGTTTTTCAAAGCTTTCTTTCTAATGATCATTCAAATATACCTGAGTTTAGTGTTTTCAAAATGTTGGTCACGGTTTTTGACCTGTCACTGTGGCACATCTATGCACTTTAGCTTCAGTGCTCGACTGCATCTCAGCTGTCTCGGAACCCACACAACGTTGGAAACATGTCGCAAAATATGTGCAATATTACACCTGAAACTGTGTGTGAAGCTCCACCGATTGCGGTAACTCGAAGTGCAGTAAAACCCGCTCCTGAAAAGATATTGCTCAAGAACAGGAATATTGCTGGGTAAGTGTTTGAACGCATCGCTTCTAATATCGGTACTAATAAAAATGAAGGGAAAAGTACAAATTGCTGTTGCTTAAGGTCGATGATGTGTCTAGCAACGACAGGTCGTCGTGAACAAACTTCTGATGACAGTGCTATAGGATCTGGGTCCTCTGAGAGTGGAGGTTCTTATGCACATGTGAAAGCGTTAACAAGGTGGGCTTCCTAAACTTTTGGTTGTCAGATGTGCCCCTCTACAGGCATGTAGGTGAAACTTGGTGATTCGTAGCAGATCCATGAATCGAGTTTCTGTTGACTTCGATGTTATTCATTAAGTTAGTTTTTTTCTTCACCAGGCAGGATTGTACAGCAAGATTTCTTCAACAAAGATTAAAGTTTCTAGGGTCTCTTATTCTTCAGAGTCTAGAACGATCAAATTGCCAGGTAAAACCGCCGAAGTGTCAGCAAATATTGAATAAATCTTGCTATTAACCACCTCATATTTACCCAAGTAGGAAAAATTGGCTTTCTAATTCGTTTAGTAGAACATCTAAATATAATCGTTACTGTATTAGTAGGACGATCAATAAGCTTGTTTGGACCGCGCAAAACTTTTCCGATAGTGACGCTTCGTAGACTAGATTAAGACGTCATTGTAAACTTGCTGATTGCTGGTATATCTAATAAATCGCTCGAACTATAAAGATGTTACCCTTTCCTCTTTCGGATTTATGAGACGCTTCTTCCTGAAATACATGTAATACACAAAGTCGCTTAACATTTATTCCCTTGAAAAGCACTGAATTAGTTCGAAAAAGGTGATAAAGTAGGGGAGTGGTAAAACTATTGCAATGTTTAAGTGGTTGTGAGCTCATAAAGAGAATACTAGACTCCCCTTAAAGGTGATATTGTTTTCCACCCAATGCGTCATTGGATTACTAGATTTCGCTTCTAGGCTTGGAGCTTTGAGTAAGTCTGAGCCTGTAGTAGCTTTGAGTACTAATTGTTATGTTTTCTTTGGTAAACAGTACTGTTACAAAAAAGAGTGTACTAGCGCGGTTTCAAATAACACGACTATAATCTTGAATAGCTTGAGAAGCATAAAGTCTTCAACAAATTTGGTTATCTATACCGTGGTTGGATAAAAGTCGAAATTGAAAAAGCTGGAGTTTCCATCGTAAAGCAGAACAGCATTGCTGTTCTAGTCCTAAAAGAGTTGACCATCTATTCAATTCTTGTTAAAGTTAGCTTGTATCTCAATACGGAGTGCATATATGTAATTCAACGTTGGGCTCAATCATTGGGAGCCTTCTATCATGCAAGAGTCCTGAAAGCCAAAGGCTTCTTAATATGTTTGAGCATGTTTGTTATTAAGTATACTAAGTTCTATTGCACTAACTTACTTGGTCTTGATGGTAAAAGGATAAAAGCTCTCGGTGTTGACCAATCCCTGAGGGATGGGCCATGCATTCGACTTCAGTTAACATCGTTGGAGGTGATTGAATGCATATCTGGCCTTTACAGTGTGACTCGAGGTGACCTACCGCTGTGTCGAGCCATTGCTGCTATCCTTCCAGACAAGTCTTGTACAAATTTCCCGAACGCGAAGGGATGAAAGGTTTGATGGCCCACGGGAGCTGGAAACGATCCCATGTGTATTACAGGGCGCCTCCAACCACAGCGCTACACGCGCACTCTCTGTTGATGATACGAAGGAAAGTCAATTTGGATGAAGTCGAAGGGTGAACTGGCTAGCTGTTATCCAGACTGCTATCTTGTTAACGTCTTGTTATAAAATAGTTTTTATGAGTTTCTACTTAATTCTACTTTACTATGTGTGCAATTTTTTAATTTTTAGAGCCCGTGGTGTTCCAGCTGCAGTTGTTCCGATCAAATTCTTACGGAGACGTTCCATGTCGCAGTTAACACTCAAGCGGTTTAATTCAATTGAAAATTTAGACATTGCTGCCTCCTGTTCTCAGTTAGCTAATCTGGAACAGAATCGAAAACCGATAGGTATTCTTTCTCCACTTAAGTAGTAGTCGTCTTGCAGCGAGCATTCTTGATTTTCCGAGAATTTTAGAAATTTGTTGTCTTCTGTGTTCGGCACGTCTTCATAGTCTATAGATTTTTGCGTTAATCGTATTTCATATCTAACCACCTTCCTATTAATAGCATGTAGTTCCGATTTTTTTTTCCATTCAACAGTTATGCTCCGTGTTTTCAAAGTCTTTCTTTTTCGGCCAATTTACATAACTTATTCCAATTTCGGGTCCTGTTTACTAGCTGAAACTCCTCTTGCAGTTCCCTTCCACACATCTCACTGCTTGTGATTTCTTTTGCTCACAGGCATTCTTTGTAATAGCCTATGTGTAGTTCAGTACTCTATATTGTTGGCTGTCGCTTCTTCAGTTGGTGACAGTTGTGTATATGAAAAAATAAAGCCATCACCTGTGATGTCTATGTTTGTGGGCACAAAATTTCTTAATGCTGCACATCCATGTGGCGGAGCGCTCGGAGGCGCCCTGCGACACACACACACATGAGATCGATACCCGCTCCCGTGGCTCGCCAAGCTTTTCATTTCTCTGGTGTCCGCAAATTGGTACCAGACTTGTCTGGGAGCTTAGCAGCACAAGCTCGATACATCGGTATGCCGCTGCGAGTCATTGTAAAGGCCAGTTATGCATTCAGTCACCTCCAAACGATACTTGGTAAAGTGGAATGCATGGCGCATCCCTAAGGGATTGATTAAGGTCGAGAGATCTTTTATTTTTATTTGTCATCTACATGGCAGTAGTGTTTTGGAACTTAATAAGCGCGAATCTTCATGACTCTAACTCAATAGAGAGCATCAAGATGAATGTGCAAGCTGTGTGGCGACATTGTTTTTATAGAAGTACGTTAGCGTAACAAAGTTTTGGGTATAAATGAAAATTGTCCATTTTCTCATATTTAGTACTCTATTCTTCACATCCCTCTCTAGGTATAGACTGCTGACATGGGCAGATCTCAAAATCTGAGGAAAGGTGACCAGAGGAAAAATGAAAGCTGTGATCCTGCTACTCCGTGATGAACATAACCTTCGTGAAGCAAAAAAGTACCTTTGGAATTGAGGCCGAAATATACCCTCTGTGCTATGGTCGTTTACACCTACAGATTCCCTTCACAGAGGGAACTCTTGCTAGTTAACCACGAACCAGCGTGGCGCGTCCTCAATTGGTGGGTAGGGGATTCATCGCTGGTGGCGGAACAAAAGCAACCTTATATTTTCCTATGACGCAAATTGATCCAAGGGATGGATTCTCTCTTTCTGTTCAGCAGATTTGAACATAGCTTCTATGTTTGTAAACACATATTCATGCACGGGTGTGTAGGTGCTTTCTCGTCTATGAAGATTGTATTCTAGGAGACAGTTCAGCCGAAAGCCTGCATTCAAGTGACTGGGAGTAATATGGAGGGCGGTTAGGAGTAGCCTCCAACAAATAAGCTTCTCGTGTGTTCTGGGTGAGAGTGGCAAGCTACACGTGACTATATTCAGCTCTACGTTCGGAGCTCAGAACGTGACTATATTCAGCTCTACGTTCAGAGCTCAGAGCTATACATGGATACCAAAGGCTAAACACAGTTAAATAAGTGGGCCTCATTCCACTGACCACGAAAGAGCGTGCTATACGGCAACGTTGGGTAGGATGAGTACTGAAAAACTGCGAAAAGCTTAGATCTATTCTAAACTGCTTAAATCTCAAACCACTAAGTTACTCTGGGTAAGGATCCGTACCTACAATGCATAGACACACACTTGCATCTGAGTCCTCGATAGAATACTTGGCAATGCAGACAGGAAGGGTAGGGTACGACATTATCGGAACAGTTGAAAAGATATGGATTAGTACCGGCTTTGACATTCTTCGTCTGTGATATGAAGTAGTTCAGAATTAAATGAAGAAAAAATTACCAGAAGTTTAGAGATGTCCTGTTCTTTTGAAGTTCTTTTTCCGAGGAACGTTTAGCTCTGTGTCACTTCGTACTTGCTTACTAAGTGCTCTTCGTCCGTAAATTAGCACAGTTTGCTAGCCGTGTCTCAGTGACGTGGTGAATTCGATGCAAATTAGTCCGAACGGCAGAATTCCGTGTCGGACGTGGGGTTCAGTGGCGTTGCATCTGTGACGGATAATTAGCCTCAGGCATGAGTGCGCCGCATAGCAGCAACAGCAATTCACTGCCGACCCCCTCCACCTGACTCCAAATCCAGGACATCCATTCCGACACTCATTGCAATGAATCGCAGCCCATCATCTCCATCTGTTGTACAGGAACTTTTTGTTTGGATTGAATAGAGATCGGAAGGCATACTCCACTTTTTGATCGGCTGAAATTTGAAGATCTCGAAAACCTCGCTAAAAGAATTTTTGCTTCCGATTGTTCTAATACAGTAGAATGGCGATGGTGGTTGTGTCGTTTTCGCCACTGCGAACATCTTGATGGGCGTGTTCAGTCTGCCCACATGAAAAGAATGCAAATAAACTCAATACAAATGGTCGATTTGCATTTTTTATTGCTTGTACACATTTCTGTTATAGATATTAGATGGGCCACATATGTACTTGCTGGTCGTATTCATTATTTTATTTTTTTTTTTGTAATAATTATTGGGCATTTCAGCTTCGAAACAACATCACCTTACCCAGTCGGATATCAGAAATCAGTCTAATACAGTTTGATAAACTGTTGACTCAGATTTAGTCGAAATGTAGTAATAATATCTTGGTCCGCACTAAGATTCTGAAAGAACGAAATATTTGGGGCAGGGAGAGGGTTGGGACTCAACAACGGCTTTGCGGGCGAAGCTTTCACAGCCTGTCCACCTACTCCGTATCACTAAATTACTGGGATTTTGATCCTCCGATACTTTTTTGAGATTTGTTTTCGAGAATACCAAAGCGCCAACCAGCATTCTATTCCTCTTTGGAGGAAATTCTGGAATCATCTAACGATCTTCTAAGATGAGATAGTGTTCCTGCCGAATTCGTTGTTTCGTAAATCATAGATGATTTCTGAGCCATAGCCGTTGGCAATAATCGAATCCGATGACTGAGGGTTATTATGGAAGCCGTGTGGAAGTTGTTATGCTGCTACATTCGCGAAAGTTGGTCTCTACATTCTCATTGAAAGAGAGATGAATATTCTACTAAGTAATCGAGTGATAAAGTTTCAAGTGGGAAATGCAGTAGTACGTGCGCGTGAATTTCGCTGCTGGTAGAGTAATGGACGTTACTGAACTCAAAGTGAAGGTGGAGCCTTCCTAACATTAAGGACCCTCAAATATTTTGCGTATTCATGTTCATTCGAATTATTTCTGGAGTTTTAGGATTCAAAACGTTTCACACAGATGTTTATTCTTCATTTATAATTATAGCGTTGCACTGGTTCTCGCGTGGCAACAGTTCATTTTGAGAGGAATCGTTCGTCCTCATAGCAGAGGTGATGTGTTTGTGCATCTGAAGCGCCTCTTAGCGACGCTAGTCGACAAGTCTAACTTAATTCATTTGTTCATTAATTCATTCTATTGATTCGCGCGCCACGATAGATTGTTCCATGTCGAACACTCCTGTCTATCCTCCCATACGCTCCCTCGCCCACTCGGCTCCACTCGTCGTCGTCCTTTCCCGCCCTCCACAACTTCCTGGGCTGTGCACTGCATACCGTAATAATCGGCTTACCTTCATAATCATAGGCATAACTATGTAATAGTTCAATTTATCTATAAAGAATCTCTACAGAATAAGTTAATAGTATCCGTAAGGAAGAACTTTCACTGTTATTATTCCTATTACGTGGGGAGTAATGAGAGAGCGGAATTTCTAAACTCTGAGGTTTCCTGGATTTCATCCCTAGCGTTCTGTTTTATGCTATCTAGTGTAATAGCTCATAGTTAATTTTCAGAGGCCAACCATGAAAATTCACGTCATTTTTGGTAAATTTGATAAAGGGAAGAAAATGCGCTAACTTAGACTGCACTCATTGGAGAACTGAGAAGCAAATGCTGAGAGGGTATGAAACTTGTCTTGAGCTTTCGTTGTTATTCTACCGAATTCTTACATTCTTAGTTTACCATAAAATCACCTTTAGTTACTCATCTTCTTTATCGAACCATATGCCAAGAAATCGGCTCTGTTAAAGTGATATTTCGATGATTTGGCTACATATCCGACATCCAAGGCAGAATAGACTATGCCATGATGATACGACCGGGGGTACTCTTCGGATGAACGACATTAAACGGTTCTCTTTTTCTCCACTTTTTTCCTTGGATCGGTACAGCTTCTACTGATGACTGGAACGTAGGAACTTCAAAATAGTAGAAAAAAACCGTATGGTTCCAGTAGACTTATGATCACCATCTGAATAGAACTGACGGGATGGCACTTTAGATATGTAAGAATCAAACCATGAAAACTTCCTTAGAGGACGTTTCCAGTCTACAAAGTGCGATTAACATATGGTGTATATGGGATCTAATAATGTGGATTCAATATGTTAAATTTGGTTGCAAGGCGTAAATTGTAAACTTGTTCGTAAATAAACTAAAAAATTGTCCGGTCAATGCCGAGGTTAGTAGAAAGTCGTTCATGGGAATAAGATTTAGATTTGATGAGAAGATTTCCGAATATGTTTAAGTCGGGAATAGTCTTCCGAGATGCTAAATGTTTCCGAGAGTCTTAAAACTTCAGGAACAATTTTCTTTTAGCTTCATTATTGATCAAGAATTCACTCGGTATCGATCAGTAGCTGAATAGTGATCAGTGATAATTGAATTCTTAAAAGGTTATTTGTTTAGAGCCGCCACTCTCCCCACCAACAGCGATTTCTCATACGTTCGCGTGTTGTCGACTGGAGTTTAGTGCCTGCTTTATGACATCAATTATTCAATTTACTACTTCGCCGACAAATTGCTTTTAAAGCCGAAGTCCACTGGCCGTCGTGTTCTCTGTCGTCTTCGTCGTTGTTGACAGTTCTCAGCTGAAACTAAGCGGTCCTCCTTCTCGTGGGTGTTTTCAACGAGAACAGCTCGTCGTTGTTTCTGCTCCAGCTTCTTCAATTACGTATAACCTAGGTACTTTACATATATTAATTCGATATTCGGCGAGCTGCTCGATGACGACGAGTTGTTGACTGCAACACCCTCGCTGAAAAAGTGTCTCTTATTCTGGGTTATTATCTTAATGGTAGGGTTACACTTGTTAATCTATATCCTGGCATCTTTCCTGGAGAACTCTGCTGTTTCATAAACGGTCTATATGGGACATGCATATTTTTTATTTCTTCGCCGTTCTTTCCGGAAATTACTGAATTCCTTCATCGAAGTAGCCGGAGTTTTTTGCTTTTTTCCACTTGTTCAGGCATTAAAAAATAAGCGATGATATTAGATTGAGAGAGTTCCCATCGATAATTTCTTATCGCTAAGATATTAGCACGCAACGTCAGACACGCAATGGTTTCAATGCGTATAGTGTGAAAGGAATTGGCCCTCTAAGGCGTAAACCAGTAAATCTCAGTTTATAATAAACTTCATTAATCGAAATGATAACCATCAGAATCATCAAGTCTTCGCCAACAAGAGGCAATATTTCTTATTTGCCCACCTCTATTCAGTGTGTTTCCATTGTGTCACTCCCCGGTTCCTCTCGACTTTTGACATTTAGCTTGTTCAGTTTTTTAAAAGTTTACTTTTTGCATAAACTTCGAATTAAAGGAATACTTTATAGACACTTAAAGCGATCAAAGTCTCTATATGGACTTGTAAGGCTACTAACTTTATTCTGGCTTGGTCCTTCACCTCTGCGCAGAGTTTATTAGCAGAGCAGTTTAATAAGTAAAAAGAAAGTCGATTTTTCAAATATTGTGGCGCTAGGTGATAATGATATCGACTGCTGCAGGATGGATTGTCCATAAAAAACAACTTATTATCGCCGGACGATTACCGTCAACAGCAACCGTCTGGTATGGAAGAGTATCACCGGGTGAAGTTGCCTCATTCATGCGGTGCTCCACTGAACAAGATTGGACTCGATACGACCAACGTTAGCTGAAAAGAGTTTCTTTATCAGCCTCGTCAATTACCAATCAATGAAGGAATAGTTGAATGAACGTTAGTTTCATCTAGGCAACAATTTTCATTTCATACATGGAGAGGATCTGCTAAGTGGAAAAACGCCGTTGGTTCTTAGTGTCCAATGCTCTAATGGCGATTTTTCTGAAATTTTAACAACTCCGTTTAAGTGAGGCGTCATATTTCTGTGCAAATTCTCCCACGTTTCATGCGGGCATTTTTCTCACGACATCAGCACGATTTCAGCGGAATTTCAACTGTCCCGAACGTCAGACGTGATAATGTGTGTGGCGTCGTCGATTTCCTCACCTGACTTTGTTTTCGTTTTGAATGCTTTCCTTCACCTGACAACCGCTCCGGCTCGTATTACTCAACGATCAACCTGCACTCAGCGTCCAGAAGAATCGATTTCGCAGTTCGTAATCCAGTTACACTTTCCTCATCGTCGTCATGAAATGCTGTGGCTGTTCACGTGTCGACATGTATACACTCATTGTAAAAGCAAAAAGGAAACACTTTCTAAACGTTGTTCCCAGAGGATCGTTTTTCTTTGCATTTCATTGCAACTTAATGTTAAGTAAAACCCTTTTACCACTATTTCCTTAGAACGAATTCCTCCCATCTGACTAAACAGCTTATCTTTTAACGCCTTCTTGAGTAGACACGCATAAATGAATATAGTTTTTTATTTACTTTTATTTTATTTTATGTGGCCCGTCTTCACGTCTTCGGTGCGGATCCCAGCACTTCTCAGATTCTATTCGTTTCTTCGCATCCATTGTCCACGATGATCTTCCAACTTTTCGTGTGGCTTCTGCTGCTGCTTGAGCATTTTTCATTTCATCTTGAATTTCGTAGAATGCCGGTGGAGTCGATTCCCCCTGGAGTCCTGAGATAGCCATGCTGGAGCGTTCCCAATTATATTGCAAATTTTTTTCCAGACAACTCCGCGACCAATTCTCTGACCACGGATGATGAGAGGCTTGGTTGAACCGGAGCGGAATTGAACTACCACCATGCTCGTGGTGACAACGAATATAATGGCCGAATTAAATATTAAATACGTACTGATTGCTGAACGCTACTATTTATAGTTCTGCATTTTTATTCACAATTTCTTATGATTTGCATAATTTTATAATTTAGTTAATTTTTTTAAAATTCGATTTGTAGTCTTTTATATAATATCTATAGATTTAGTCGTTGATGGGATAACCACTCCCATACCACACCCATCACTCCGTGGCCCATCGTCTGATAACAGGATCGTCTTCCGCGAGTGCACCACTGATTTGACTTAGCCATCACTTCACTTCTGAAAATCATTCTAGAGGGCATTGGTAAAGGGACTCCCTGGTCGTTCTCTCTCTTTCTTCTTCCTTTCCTCCTTCTCTGTCTCTCCCTTTCTATGCCTGTCTGCTCTTCTGTCTCTCTCTTTCTTTTTTGCGGCTTATCTATGTGGGATCGGTTACCAACTTAAGCTGTATCCTTCAAATTAATGCGAAACAATGTTATCGGAAGTTGGCAATGTTTGTGTCCTGTTGAAGTGGACTACATATGCTGCTTAGAGGTCANGCTGTTAACTTGTCACTCGTTTTTAATCGATCGACAGTTACTGATTTCACAATTTCAAACGTTCGGAAGGTCGTGGTGATAAGGAGTTCATCCAAAATTAAATAGCGAAAAGGAAGGATAGAAGATAAAGCGTTAGGCATTGTTTGATCAATAAGTGGTGCACTATGCATTTAACTCTGTCGAACATCATGGATGTTGTTAACTATATATTTAGCGAAATATAACTTCAATGATGCTGAGATATTTGCAAAACTCCGGGCTGCAGGTGACTGCGCTGGTGAACGAACGCCATTGTTCTTCCCGGGGGCGTTCACCATCACACCATGCGGGTCCTTCATTTAGCCTGTCTCTCAGCTAGTTCTATCGATCTCTGCCATCGGTAATCACCCGTCAACGGGATTGATCTGGGGAATCCAAATCGGCAACGAACCCAACTAAGTTGAGGCTGTAGTTATAGTCACAATTTTAACTTATTATTTACTGCCTACTCTTTTTAGTGGCAGGGTATAGTGGTACCTCCTTGAGTATTTTTCATTTCATCTTGAATGTCGTAGAATGCCAATCAAACAATTCTCTCTGGAGTTCTGAGGTAGCCGAACTGTAACGTTATCAATTAGAGTGTTTTGTTGTTTACGTTGAACCTATTTCTGCATTCTTTACATCCGTCCATTCCACACGACAACCATGATTCTTCGTATAACGATCGCTAATGAAATAACAGTCATTCAGCAGTCATATGCCAGTCAATGAACTCGTCGGAAAAAAGGGTTGATCGTTTATTTCTGAGTGCAAAATAGATCTTTCCCGACGTCAGCCACAGCATTTTTGTTGCATAAGTTATTTAACAACTACAGGAAGCGTGGGAGGAAGCTCCAGCCAAATAAACCGCTGGAAAAAATATGAATTCTATAGAAGTCATATCTGTCGCAACGTTCTCTTCATACACTCCTATTATGACTCCTATGGAGCCAACATCGCCCTGTTCAAAAGATATTTTTAATTCTTGAAAGAGTAGTCAAAGAGCGGATGAAACAACAAAAACGCTGGAATATCCGTCATGTTGGACCTGGCAGTCCAAATTAATTAACAATGGTATCTGTCACCAGCAGTCCCGTAAATCATTTAATAATTCGAGCTGGCACCAGTAAACACAATTGGCCTTTGTCATCTACTCCAGCATGCCAATAGACTCCGTTAGCTCAAGGGACAAGACAAGCATCAACCAACTGGTATTATGTCTTTTATAACTTTCTAAGGAGGGAATACCTACGGAAAACTCGACGAGTTTAGCCGTGGTATAAGCTTACTTCTAGCTTGGGCTCAATAATGAAACGTGGAAATCATTCTCAGCTTGTAGGCCCACGTTCAAAACAGCTCATTGTTGTATATCGCAGCCTTAAACGGCCCTCAGCTGAGAAGAAATTGTAAACCTTTCATGGAGAAGTTACCGTTATGGATGGGAAGCCTTAACACGAATGATAACGGTTCACATTAACGTTGCAGAGATTCGTTGCAAAATTAAGTTATGAACTTACACATAATTGAAAACAGTTCTGAGTACTACGGCAAATGACATTCGTTAGGTACCCAATGAACAAAGAGGTGTTCGATTGCCTGTCGACTACCAGACTTGTTTTCTACGATGCCAATAGGTGAGCAAAATTCAACAATAACTGGAATGAGAGCGAAAAGGTAGCCCTGAGCCATGTGCGCGCATATGACATCCAACTCTGTCACATCATGTCATAATACTAGAACATGCATCCAACAAAAAACCTGATTTTTCTCATTTTTGCAGAGGGTTTTGCCTTGCGAAGTGAGTCAATTGACGTGTTTTCAAACATGGTGCAAAGCCAATGTGCGCAACGATGAGTAAACGATGTGATTCACTAGTTAGCTCATAAACGTTGTTTTCACATAAACTAAACTTCATAAGGGACACAATATCCTCCTAGCAAAAGCTGTGTGGCGATACCCACCACTCTCAACTTCAGAGCGCATTTTTTCGTTTTCGATAAGACGAACATATCGTTGAAGAGGAAAGCGTAGCAATCCACTGTCCTCCCATTCTCTGAAAGCATCACTGTCGTCGGCGGATCCATTGCCTTTTGGTTACAATGCTATTAAGCTTTGCATATCTGCTCATTTTATCTGGCAAATAATAAATACAAAGACATTCAAATGTAGCACTATGGAGTCACACAGCATCTCATTCTCATTTGAAATTAGCGCTAGCTTTCTGCTGGCTTTGTATTATTTCCTTTAGTTGCAAATTTTCGTACTTTAGAAGATCACTATTTCTCATCTCCGCAGAACTTACCAACTAATTCAAGCGGTCCCTCATGGATGAGCTTTCGTCGCGGATGAGCCAAAAGATTTTCGCAGAACTGACGAGACAGAGCCACTCTGAGAAACTGCAAAGGTTTAAATCTGAATTCACTAATCTAATAGCAATATGAAATGTGGTAAAAGATAATGTGATATTAAATCTGACTTTAGTCAAAGCGCATTTATATTTGCACTCGAGGATATTTTCAAGTGAAAAAAACATTCCAAAGAGCTTTCTGTAAATCAAACTATGCTTCCTTCAAATTACCCAAAAATTTCAGGTGTGAAGTACTCATGATATTATAAATCTGTCGTTTCCTTTATCAGCAGTCGCGGGGTTGTTAAACAGCAAGACGTCAACCATATGCGACTCTGAACGGCTGTTCCTCCTCGGTGGAAGACAGGTGAAAAAAGCGGCTCTGAAGAAGGCGATTCTGCCGAAACGTCAGCTGTGGTTGTGCTGCATATGTGTTATTATATGAAAGTAAACGTATGCTGTTTAACAACCTCGCCATTGCTGAGAAAGAAAACGGCAGATTTATAATCAAATGCCGAAGCTAATAGAAAGTCGATCTTGGGAACTGTTGCAAGATGTACCATCATGATATTATAGTTTCCCTAAAGGATTTAGTAGGAAAGGGACTTTCCTTGTAGTCTCATCAAACTTTTAATACACTTAATAGCCTTAACCCTTTTATTTACTGCCTTTTTCTTTTTAATGGCAGAGTATGTTGCGAAATATAACTCGTATGTAATGCTGAGATATTTGCAAAACTCCGGACCACAAGTGTATGCAGTGGAGAACGAACACGCGTTGTTGTCCTTACCGGGGAGCAGCGCACTTCACCACCACACCATAGGGTTAAGATTCTGATTATAACTAAGCCTCAACTTAACTGGGTTCAATGTCGATTTGGACTCCCCAGATCAATCCCGTTGACGGGTGATTGCTGATGGCAAAAAGATCGATAGAAATAGCTGAGACAGGCGAAACGAAGGACCCGCATGGTGTGGTGGTGAACGCGTTACTCCCCGGAAAGGACAAAAGCGCGTTCGTTCCCCACCATAGACACCTGCGGTCCAGAGCTTTGCAAATATCTCAGCAACGTTGGGGTTGTATTACACTTAATAGTATTTTTCCCCTTTACTCTTTAAATTCTCAGGTACTCTATCTTAATCTGCTTTTGATAGCATCCTTATGTTCATGTTCATGCCTGAACGAACTTATGCTCAGAATAAGTATCTAGGCACTATATCTAAATTCTCATTGACGATTGATCGATTAGCATCGGAAACATTTCATTGATATCCCTAATTCCGAATTCCGCTTTATCGCAACTGTTATAGCAGAAAAATGCTATAATAGAGCAAGGATAGCACAGTGGTTCAGGAACCCGTGAAATAATGCATGAATGGTCGCTGGTTTGATCTCACTCCTTGGCGCCAACAAAACTTTCCATTCCTTTGCGTTATTGCTCTATCACGGCAATCACAAGTTTTCAGGAAACAACCACTCAACCACAATCCTACGAAATTCATGAATAAGGCAACGACCTCTAGGGCCAGTTAAGTCTGAATGTAAATCCAAAACTCTTCATCAATAGAAAATTAATCCGGTAACATTTCATTAACCATGTAGTGGTCTAGTGTGCTTTCCAACAAATACAACTAATTGTTAGAACAGGTTTCAGTACGTACACATATAGTGTTTTCGGCAAAAAAAAACATGAACCAAGTAGATGGACCGATGAGGAATATACAGTAATTATCTAACTAAGTAATACGAATAAGGGATAAAGCTTTCGGCACAGATCAATCCATGGGCGATGTGCCAAGCATTCAACTTCATCAAGCACTGTAGAGGTCGTGTAAAATAAACTGCGTTGGCCTATACATGTATAAAGTTAGTGCTGCTATCCACTCTGACACGTTTGGTAAAAATTTACCGAGCCCGGAAGGATGGAACACATGGTGTGCCCAAACCGCTGGACCTGAACTAGAAACCATGTGTTTATTGCAAGGCACCTCTAACTACTAGATTACACAAGCCCCAACTAAACATTGATTATACAAAATGGAATAAATAAACAAAAAGGATGACGCTGCCGGCGCTGGTCAATCCCCTTGGATTCGACTTCATTATACATCGTTGGAGGCGACTGAATGCATATTTTGCCTTTGCAATGACTCGCGGTGGTTTACCGATGTATCAAGCCAGCACTGCTATCTTCCCAGGCAAGTCTGGTACCAATTTGCCGACCCCGGATGGATGGAAGGTTTGGTGGGCCAGGAACGTGCGAATCGATCCCATGTGTTTTGAAGAGCACCTCCGCCACTGAGTTATAAGCGCCCCTTCAACATATGTGCAGAAAAACGGCTTGTAAGGTAAGATATTAGGTTATAAGATATAAGATGGACCAATATACCCACATCTGGAACAAAAGATTTTGGTTCGAGCTCGAAAATCGACGGCCAGATAACCTGAGTTTGCAATTGTTGTAGTCGTTCGAAGTTGTGTAGCCATTGCACACTGTCATCTATCGACCCTATAAGCATCTTCTTATCCACAATGATGCTGGTTTTTCTATAATTATCGATAACTATAACACTTCAGAATTTTGACAGCTTTGCAAATCCTATTCTACTAGCTTTTATACTGACTGGTAATATTTACTATAAGCCGAGATCTGATCGTTTAAAGTCGATAATTTGTCCTCTAGTATATACGCATTCATATCAATACGCATTGCCGCTAATGTGTAAATTAAATTAAAAATAAATGTAGAGATTTGACAACAGATAAAAGCTGAGCCGATCATAGACGGTTAAAAATTCATATTCATTTATATATACACCTTTTCTCTGGAAATCTCTATAAAAAAATAATTGCAGTTGACAAAGTTAGCTCGACTCTAACCATTTCCTAACAGCTTTTCTTAAACGATCTACTCCAACTCACTAAGGCTTTCCGTCATCGAGTCAATCACTTTCTCCACTTTTGCCTTGTTTTCTTCGCCTTCCGTGTACTTATGGATTTCACGTAACATAATAGGTAGCCGTGTGATTCTGCAAATACAGACTGTTTGCAGGGCGACGGTTATAACATCTGACCGTAATCACCTTTGTAAAGGAGCGATGAGCAAATCTTCGAGTTGTAAACGAGAACATCGCTCATCCGCCATACATATCTAAAAAAATCTTTCATGTAAACAAAAGCATTGTCGCCAAGTTTGAATAAATTTTTTAGCCATAAGTTATTTAGCAATCATATCAATATCTTATTTTCCAATATCTTTTCTAAATCGTTATTCTTCTTCATCTTTTCAGATGATTGCTGATGGTAATAGCCGAGAGAAAGGCAACGCAGGTGCCTCAGTGGTGGAGTGGGTAACACGCCAGCCCCCAGAAAACGTAATCATGGGTTCAATCCTAGCCTTGGATCCAAGTTTTGTAAATATTTCAGCATCATAGTGGCTGTATTTCACATTATAAAAAAGTTAACATTGTGATTTCGACTGAAGCCTCAGCTTTACTGGGTTTGATACCGATTTGTGCTCCCCTGATCATTCCTGTTGACGGGTGATTGCTGGCGGCAACGTCAGGGAAAAAAGATTGGCTCAAAGAAAAGCAGACTGACGCTTCAGGGGTGCCATGCGTAAACGGTGAGCACCCAGAAAGGGTAATCGGAGGTTCGAATTAGACCTGGGATCTAAGTTTTGTAAATATCTCAGCATCATAACACGCAGTAGATAAGAAGGTATGAGACCACACATTGAAAAGTATTTCTCTCAGCCAATTTTTTACCCTAACGGCGTCACCAGCAAGCACAGTCAACAGTGTTTTAAGTATGGATAAGTTCTTGACTTTGTTGAACTGAGCAAAGAACGTCCAAACACCTCCATTTGCTTTGTGAGGAGTTAAATTAGGTTAGTAAAGTTGAAACAGACTTGTGTAAGAAATTTAAGAAAACCTTGATATGAAAAAATGTTTAAATGTACAACTCACCCGTTCGAACTCAGTAAATCGTTCCTCTTTTTGGCGAATTGAACCAAGATATTCCATGGTGGCTTTGTAGTTGATACAGTACGCTTGGTATGCGGAAATCGTCGATGGACCTTTTGAGAACTGAAAACAACGATGCGGATTATTGACATCGCATAGGACAGCACCATTCTCATAATCTCTATCGCTTTTTTTCCTAAATGGAATACTTGGAAGGATTGTTCTGTTCCATTTAAATAATTACTACGGATCTTGAAAATTTCACAGTTCTAGACGTAAAATCAAGAAGACTTTTTCTTTGTTTGTCATTAGAGCTACCAGACGCTTTGTTTTTCTATCATGCCATGTCTCATAGAGTTTTAACTTCATTACTTAATGTTTTCGACCCGTATAGAATAATTATCGAAGCACTAGGTGTGCAAAGATAAGGGTAAGAGACTTAGCACGGCTTCCACCTTATACAAGTGCGTAAATATACTACTCTGTTTAGAAAGCCGATAAAGCGTTTAGTATGGTTGTTCCTTGAAACACTTATACAAATTCATTGGCAGAAAAACCCAGTTTTAACCCACTGAAGAAAAGCCTGATATCGGTCCTGTTGATTAAGGGTGGATGGAGAAACTAGGCGGCTCAGATGCCACTGATCATACCCTCCTCGTACTCAAATTTTTACTACTCACACTTTGGATATTTAACAATATCATACTTAGATACTTGGCCCGTCTTCACTGGCTGTGCGGACTCTAGCACAATTTCCTTTTTTTTCGGAGTTTTGCTGCTTTAGCCATTGTGGTTCACTGGAATCCCGAGGTCAGCAACCAGGCCAAAGTCTACCTTAGGTCGTCAACACCACCAGCAGTCGCCGCCCTTGTGAATCTGAGGGAGATTTGCCACCATGCGACTAGCTTGATACCAGGACGGTGGGCGATCCTAGTATTGGTTTACTATTAGCTGGGTTTCCTGATCGAAATGCCAAACTCCTTCCGAAGCTGGGAAGCCCTGCTGGAGGATGAAACCCCGTTGTACATCGCTGCCCGACACCAAGGAATACCTCGAATGAGGCGGTAAACTGTTGGGAGGATTAAGCAATATCACTTTGTTCAAATACTTAACAAAAACACGTTGCATTGTCCTTGAAGCCAACAGCATGAATCGAAAACCTTTATAAAAACCCGCTCTTTTCGATGGCTTGCCGTGATTCTGAACTGACAAATACTTCGCGAACAGATGGTAATTCACGATCTTATTAGAACGTTGGATTCCGATACCTAGAAAAAATGGAAATGACAACGGATTTTTGGGCTATTGGAGTGGAAAGACATAGTGAACTCGCGAATTTCTGTGTTTTCTTCTTCCAAATTTGAATTGCATGATAGCAGTTTAAACGGACAGCCAACTGTCATATAAATTGAGCAGTTCATCAGCCTCTCTCAAGCTGAGAAACCGAAATTTTTATTCGGAAGCCTAACCATGAACAAATCTGAAGCACGGGAGACCTAGGTTCTCGATGGTTGTATGTACTTCATTTATTTCAGCTGAGTAAAAAATTAATATATAATGCATTGCCTTTGACCATTAAAAATGTAGTAATGTAGTACTAGTTAAATAGTGAAGAACATGAATGATATACCTTTTCGAAAAGCTTTACGACAAGTTCCGTACAATCATAATCCGTTCTGTTAGAATTCACATCTTGTAGAAGAGTGAGGAATGTCTGGCAAAATCCACGAGATATACGACATAACTGTTCAAGGTTACCAAACAGTAAGTCGGGCTCAACCGTGAGCAGACAACCTTCTACTTGACATTTCTTCAGTGGCTCCTTGTAGACATTCCTAAAATAGGAGAGAAACACATATCTCTAGTTAAAAATTAATATTTGTATCCCTTATACTGAGTGGAAAGAAATGAAAAGAAGGCTTTTCGTCAAAGCACAACTCCTGTAATCCCACTGTAACCATACCTTGAGCCTCCTTAGAGAAAACTACTATGCAGCAGCACTAAAGTCGTATAACAAGTGTGCATTTTTAGTATATCCTGCACATTCTGAATACTAATGAGGTAATGCTGAGATATTTGCAAAACTCCGGACCGCAGGTCTCTGCTGTGGGGAAAGAACGCACTATTATGCTTTCCGGGGAGTGACGCGTTCATCACCACACCATGCGGGTCCTTCGTTTCGCCTATCTCTCAGCTAGTTCTATTGATCTGCGCCATCAGCAATCACCCATCAATGGGATTGTTATTTACTGCCTATTCTTTTTTTAATGGCATTGTACGTTGCAAAATATAACTTATATAACGCTGAGATATTTGCAAAACTCCGGAGCAAAACTTTCTGATGGCAGAGATCGATAGAAGTAGCTGAGAGACAGGCGAAACGAAGGACCCACATGGTGTGGTGGTGAACGCGTTACTCTCCGGAAAGGACAATAGCGCGTTCGTTCCCCACCGCAGAGACCTGCGGTCCGGAGTTTTGCAAATATCTCAGCATCATCTTAGTTGTATTTCATATGCTACTGTGCCGTTAAAAAATAAAGTAGGCAGTAAATAAAAAGGTTGGGACTAATGAAGTTTATATGCACTTCCCTATACTCAATTTTATAAGAGTTCAACACACTCCATTCTATGCAAGAAATATTTCCCCAGGTTTCCCGAATGAGGTTAAAAATAGAATTGAAAGTTAGCGCCGCATTCGTTCCACTTTTAGTTTCTCTATGAAAGTTGATATGGCTTTCACAGTGACTATCATGGTCAAATTTAATCATTATAATGGTTCGTAATAAAATGCAACAGAAGGTAAGGAAAGTCACAACAACATTTCTCAATACTCACAAAGGAAAAATAAATAGTAGAATATGTTGTTGAAGGCATATCATATTAAAATCTGTGCTGGGCACTGTGGGAGCTTTCTATTGTCATCTAGAACTATACACACCCATGAGCGTGTTGTAGGACAGCATTCATCTTCCTTACCGTAACACAAGCAGTTGATGATGAAGAAATTTCAACTCCGAGTGGAATAGCTCCCAAACTGCTTGAAGGTATTTTTGCTTCTGAAGTGGATCTTGATGAATATATATCTAATGCAATTCTTTCGAGATATTTATTCTCACCTTTTGGCACAATTCTGTCATTGACCCTTCAAACATTACGTCCCAAGACGCAGGCTAAAACGGAAAATCTTCAGGCTAAAAATAGTTAAAAAGACGAGTGAGAATGAGAAACGAACCAGCAGTCTCTCGAGTTCCTCGTCCTCCATTTCATGGTCGACCGACGTCTCCAGCGCCGCCTGTACGTGCTTGATAATCTCACGTCGCTTTGCACGATTGGACCACTCGTACTGAAATTTATGATTAGCTACAGTGGCACCATACAGTAAGGTCGTCTAAAATTCTCCCGAACATGTCGACAATTTGGCGTTGGAATGCGAATATCTCAGTAGAAAAACAACAGTAAAGAGTTTCCGGAGACTCAAAAAGATATTATTTCAAAATCCGTTGACGTCTTTTGCAGCTAAAGACTATAATTTCAGTACTTTACTACGATCGATTAACGTCGACTATTCGTATACTCCAAAATAAAATAAGGGATAAAGCTTTCAGCGTTGACCAATTCTTGAGGGATGGGCCACGCATTCGATCTCATTAAGCATCTTTTGGAGGTGATTTATTGCATATCTGGCTCTTACAATGGCTCGCGCTGGCCTACCGATGTATTACGTATTCAGACAGCGCTGCCATCCTCTCAGACAAGTCTGGTACCAATTTGCCGACCCCAGAGGGATGAAAGGCTTGGTGGGCCACGGGCGCTGGGATAGATTTCGTGTGCGTGTTGCAGGGCAACTCCGACCACAGTGCTAAGCGCGCCCTACTCCGAAATAAAGAGAAGTTTTACAAAACTGGCTTGAAATTATCAAATTTCGGATACTAAAACATGAAAATTGAGAGATTGAGATTTTTATATCTCGATTTTAAGAATCTACTTGTTCGTGGAACAAATGTCCAAATCCAGCATCTTCCAGACTTCCGAATAAACCTGTTTTAAATCTGATTTTATTCTGAGTATATTATTTGAATTGTAACCACCACACGAGCTCGGATTCGTTGAGTGACCACCAACCAATCGTTTAAGAATCCACGGTGACCTCGTCTTCGTCTGTTCGTTGTTATCGGCGTAGAAGGAATGTGCTGAGATGGTTGCCCGTTGTAAATCTGCAACACAAGTGCTTATTTTCTCAAATGCTCCAACTAACATATGCAAAATGGTGCTTTGGAAAGGAAACACAGCAGTTCCAATCTGACTCATCGGTTACTTCGATGCGAACTTTTCACAAACAGCAAGCCTTTTCGTCGAAATTATTGGTCAGTTCTGCTTAATTTAATTGATGATTCACTAATAGTGGTTTTAGGTTAAAGGATTTGAAATGAAGTTCTCTCTCTCTCTTTGTTGAATGAAGCTCTAAAACAAAGAACTTTCTAGCGGTCCATATCACAATTCAAATGAGGACCTAAGCGTACTTTTCAACACATAGCGTCACTAAAGTATTAGGTTAGAGAAATTCGAGTGAACACTGCGCTAATGCTTCCAAAAGTTTCGTAGCGGAAACAGGATGAGATTTTTTTGGTGATGAAAAAGTCATTTACGCTCATTAGGAGCTGAGGATGAAAATTAGATTGAAGCAATTACCTGTAACTCTCCAAAAGCCACTCAAAGGGTTGGAGAAGAACTCTGCGCTAACCAGTGCAACAATGGTTATTTAGAAAACAAGGATAAATGCAAACAGAAAATAGATCCAGACTGTCTTTTTTGACCAGGAAACACGACATTTTAGACCACTGACTCGAACTATCGGTTCTGATGAAGACGGAGCCTTTGAAACGTTGGCCGAATAAAAATGTATATCAACTTCGTGTAAGCTCATCGAAGAAAGAAAACACGAGATTTTTATTACAGGATTTCTTAATTTATGATAGCTGACGTTTCCGCAGTATCGCCTTCTTCAGAGCCTGGAAGGGTATGCTGATATGTAATTTACTACGCCAAACGCTTCTATAGAAGAAATCTATTGATCATGACAACCACATGATCAACAGCCTTCCGAAAAGCGCGCCGTTTTCAACTTGCCTTCCACTGAGGAGGAAAAGAACAGCTGATTAGAGTCGCATGTGGTTTATGACTGCATCACCCCGCAGCAAAAATTGATGCGAAGGTGCGGGATTAGGTCGCACGTGATCTCTGGGCATTTCTCCCTGGTAGTCATTGGAGGATTTCTGGCATTTATCCAAAAGTCCTGGAAAAGTTTGCGCCTTGATGTTTTGCTATCATGTGCGAGCATAGCAATCTTTATATCAAAATCATCTCCGCTGTTTTTGTATCCTATGTGCTCCAAGTGGGGTGTTTTCCCTTCTTTTTCATTTGCCGTCTAGATGTTCTTTCATACGGAAACATAATGGTCTGACCATTTCGCCAAGATATTCATCTCCGCAAGTATTACAAGAGATAGGATATGTCGTACCTGAACTCATGCAATCACAGTCCATGTCTTAAAGACAAGTTACGCAATTCTGTGTTTCACATAGACGGTCATATACGCCGTTACAAGGTAGCTGACGACGTAGAATGTTCGGTGGTATTTCTGCTATCGCAGCCGATTCCTCTGGACCTAATCCTCTTAAGCTTAGTTTTATAGCTACACTTACTTCATCACCAATACAGGACAATATAAACGGGATCTCCTTTAGGCCAAGTCGTTCGTTTTAAGGTGTCGCTCTCCTTTTAGAGATCTTTTTATCTAGCAAATCCCAACACCGAATTTCTTTTAGCTTCGACATTGATCAGATATTCATTGCTTTTCTTGATGAGCAAACAATTTGTCATTACAGCATTTATTAATACAATAGCCAATGTTTCGACAGTTTTCCCTTCTTCAGAGCCTGGGAAGATCAAGTTGACATGTAACTTGCACAGCCGGACACTTTGATAACCTCAGTAATCAAAATATAATGCTTAAAATTTCTATTCGCATAATAAACAGCATCTTTTAAACCGTTTTGTTCTTATTAAGCCCTCCAGTTATTAGGTTGAGACCAGCTGTCAGGAGTCTTACATGGGAGAGGAATGTGCCTGGGTCAGGTCAAAAATCAGCCTGAGGTATGGCGCTAGGTCACGCTGTACCATAAGTCACTTCTACTTGCAGTTCATTATCAGATTTTTGGAATTTAACCGAAGCATTACTGGAGTTCTACGCACTGATGTTTTGGGATTCCTGTGCGAAGATAATGACTTTTACTTTAAAATCTCTGTTCCTGTACGCTTCCAGGCTCCGAAGAAGGCTATACTGCCGAAATGTCAGCTACTGTTGTGTTGTATGTATTTTTCGTATGGAAGTAAACGTATGCTGACGTATGCTATACAACAATCTCGCGACTGCTGAAAAAGAAGACGACGCATTTGTAATCCAATTTCAAGGTTCAAGGATAACCATGCTTCCACGCAGTCTGAGCAATTCCTCGCTCTCAGGACTTCAGCTTTCAAGACTACTATAATAAACGTGTTGGATGTTGAGAATAAGCATATTCTAAAGATTTGGTAAATCAGTGTTAGAACCGAATTAAACGCCTTAATGTTGCGATTCACAAATCACGTAGAACAATTTATACTCGTCGAATTCTTTTGTATCAACTTAGAAGGAATTCTCACGGCCAACCTTCTATTAAGTTCAGCATTGATTGATAATTCACTGTTTTTCTTCGATAAGCAAACACGCATGTGTGGCGGAGTGGTCGGAGGAGCCCCGCAACACACGTGGAATCGATCCCGTGCCCATGGCCCACCAAGCCTTCCATCCCTCTGGGGTCAGAAAATTGGTACCAGACCTGTCTGGGAGGATAGCAGCACTGGCACAATACACCAGTAAGCCACCGCGAGTCGTTGTAAAGGCCAGATATGCACTCAATCACCTCCAAACGATTCTTAATGAAGTCGAATGCATAGCGGATCCCTCAGTGATAGACCAACGTCGAGAGCTTTATCGCTTAAGAAAACACGAGGTTGATATTGTGGAATTTATTAGCGCACAATAGCTGACGTTTCGGCGGTTTCGCCTTCTTCAGAGACTGGAAACGTCAAATTGACAAGCAATCTAATCAGCCAAACACTTTCATAACCTAGAAGAATTTACTGCCTTCGAAGCCTAAAAAATAAATCAGATCAACTTTTCGTACATAAATCTCGGAACTGCTATGGCTCAGAGATGAGGCAGCTATCGAAGTAGCAGATGTCGAATAAAATGGCGCAAAAATTCAATATGTTTTGAAATGAGCAAATTTTTGGTGAAAAAAACTGAAGGAACTTTTCCCACAGGCGAGGACAAATGATTGGAATTTTTCATAGTTAAACCAAAAACCAGTCACAATACTTTGTGTGTTTGTGCATTCATTTCTCTACATAGAGGGAGAGATAACTCCAGCTGGTACCGCGAGCGCAAGGATATATTTTTGGCGCCAGCTGCCGACATTCGATGATGAGTGAGATGTTAGACGTTTTATTTCCATTTTACACTATAACACCTATGATTTTCATAATGTACTGCTTCTTGGTAATATAGTGGTAAGCCCCACAGCTACTGTACATGTAGCAAGCGATACATTCGGTGTAATTAAAGTCGTTGAATTTCTGTCTAGGCAGAATATTCTATGAAGTAAATCTTTTCCATAGCAGTAAGGAAAGCGAAAAAAACTGGCGATAGTTAGATTATGATTCAGTATCTGAATTTTCGAAAAGCTAGTGTTTTCGACTCTAACCTGCCAATAGCCCACCACCGGAACTGATGGCTCTGTTGAAGAGATGCGACTCGTTGGGACTAATCTGTACATGCGGTACGATGATCACATTATCAGATGAACAGCAACCTTTTTGTGAGCTGAATCACTACAGACTATTACTCTTTAGCTAACTAAAACACAAGTTGAAAATGTGGTATGCACCATCAACACAGCACAACACAACGAATTCCCTACCTCTCCTCATGCTGATTTGGCTGAAATAAAACAAATGATGAAAGTTATTGTTAAGGCGGAACCAAAGTGTATACATTGTGTCCAGAAGATTCTGCACACCTGAGCCAGTTAGTCGTCAGACATCAAACGATTAATTCACTTCCGTTTACATGCAATTTTTCCGCACAGAGTGTGAACAACTAGGGATGAAATATACGAGTCACCTGTTCAGGAATGATTGCATATCTCCTGGTTAATTGTTCCTTATTCGGATGAATCGTTTGCGGTTCACCATCTTCAGGCTGAAAATCTTGAAGCTAAATACCTGCTCGAACACTGTTTAAGTGCTGTTTTTGTCCGGAAACTATGTGCAAGTAATTCCTTTCCAAGATCTCGGTAGTCTCTATGTACCTCTTGGTTTCGTTGGCGCAATGTGTGCGTAAAAACCTTCATATCAAGCATGTCACTGCAAGGGAGGGATATTTTCAAGACATTGATTGACAAATCCAAAAAAGCGAACGAATTCATAAAAAAATGCCTAGTTAAGAACTCTAGAAACTTTGTTATAGCCATTCCATATAGAGTCGCTTTCAATGAGAAGCACAACTAAATGACTTGAAGAGGAAAACGGGAACATAATGTCTAAAGATTGGAATCTATGATGAGCAGCCTTTACCCCCATCTAAAATCAAAAACTTCGCTTGCAAACCTGCTTGTTATTGAAAACTTGAACTTATGAATAGTCAACTGATTGCGGACGCTGAAGCTGATAGTGGAAGAGCATAGCAACAAAGTGACAACGCACTTGAACAAAACAATCAGTGAATGAGCTATTAAATGAGACCTGAAACGTGATTGCAGTCATATACTGCTAGCTTTGCAGTACTTTTTTTTCTTGAAGTCCCGAAAAGCCTGCAATAGGGTGTTAGCAGCTTTCCACCATATCCCATCGTGTAGAAGAAGAATTTTACCACTTAGTAACTGAATTTCTCTTGAATAGGCGTCGATCCCGGAAATTAGTTGCGCTAAGCAGGCCAAAATGAAGAAAAATGAAACCTTATGGAACATCTTATTCGCTCTCGTGGATCTACTGGAAGAACGAACCTTCTTCTCCCGCTGAGCAGAATAGTATGAAACTCTGAAACCACCCCACCATACACGATGAGGTGGTAAATCAATGACACATATCACTTAAATAGTCATTGGAAGTAAGTACAGAAATTTGTAACGCTAAAAGGACTAGCGAATTGTTAAATATTCAGGCAAAAACAAGGATAAAGAGATAAAGCCTTCTGCATTAATCAAGCTTTGAGGGATTGATTGATGAAGAAGGCTTTATCCTTTTATTCTTAATCCACTCGACTTCATCAGTAATCGTTAGACGAGAGTGAATGAATATCTAGCCTATACATAACTTACAGTGGCGTAACGGTGTGTTAAGTCACTGTTACTACTCTCCCAAGCAAATCTGTTACCAATTTACTGACCTCGGAAGGATGGAAGGCTTGATCTGCCCGCAGCATGTGATCGAACTAGGGACCAGTTGCGTATTGCAGGGCACCTTTAAACGCTGCCCTAAGCGCTCCAAAAAACCATTAAGAGAACAGAATATCGTCGACAAGTCATATAGAACATGGACCTGATCAAATTAGGGGTGTGCACCCATTCGAATTTATTAAGCATCGTAAAGGTGATTGAATGTATTATACTTGGCTCATATGACTTGCTAGAGGCTAGCGATGTATCAAGCGGTACTTCATCATTCTCCCAGAAAAGTCTTGTACAACTTTGCCGCCGTAGCAGATGTGGTGGGCTCAGTTTGTCCTGCGAGAACAATAGATACCAACGAATCAGTGTGTATGGCAGTATTTCCGCAAGTACTGCGCTCGGCGCTCCATATATTATTTACAGCATAATTCACGAATAGAAAAAAGTCGTAACCTATGGTTGTGTGAATATCTAAAAAGTTAAAACCGCTCTGCTTTCAATTAATCGAATATGCGAAAATCTATGGTTAGCGCATAAAATTCAATAGAACACCTGTTTTTTGAAGTTCTACTATTAGTGTGTAGTCGTAATGAGATTATATTTTGGAATGGCAATAAATTTCAAATTTACTACGGGATAGAGAAATAAGGGCGCATGTAGCGCACTGGTTAGAGGCGCTCTGCACGCTCTGCAACACATCTTGATTCGATCCACACCCCAAGCCAAGCTTCCCATCTCTTCGTGGTAGGCAAATTGATACCAGGCTTGTCTGGAAGGATAGCTGTATTGGCTCGATATATCGATAGGCCACTGCAAGTCATTGCATACGTCAAATATTTATTCAATCACCTTCAACGATGCTTAGTTAAGTTGAATGCATTGCGCATTCAGGGATTGATCAACGTCGGGAGTGTCGTTCGTTTTTTATTAAAGAGGAGTAAAAAGAGACGAGGAAAAACTTGGAATAAGGTAGACTGAGGAGAGACGAACGATGAAAAAAGACAAGTACGTAATTTGTAGTCCGCCTGCAAGAGCGCTTGCGTGCCAACAAATTGTAGGTCCCCTCACTCTATCGGCAATATGGTAATTAAATTTTTTGATTAAAAAACAGCAAGTAAACATTCATCACTGAGATGAGGCATGAAATTATCGTCGTGATAGAGAGTAGAGATGGTTAGGCTGTAGAAGTACCAGAGGAAATTAACTGCTGCTCCACACCCTTATGATAGATGCATCGACCGGAAGCGGATACACCGGAATCACACACGGCCAAGACGTCCACAAGATTACACTGTGCAATAAAGGAAAACACAATCAGCGATGGACTAAGATTTCTGCGAACACTTCTATGAAATAAGTCATCGCTGAGTTTCGATTTTCGCCAAAAAAGATGAGAGTGTGAACAGCGACCAGCAGATATAGAAATTATCTATAGAAGGCAAATTTTACGGTGTTCAACAATTTCACAACAAAACAAACGTACATTTGTTTATCACCTATGAGTGCGTTCAAGCACAGGACACATATTTGGTCCAGCACGAAGCACAGTGATGTATTCGCGAATTTTAGTAATCGTGGCACCAACAATTTAACGATGGTGAAGCAACGAATAGTTCGAATGGTTGAGCTCACGAACAGAACCTCCGACTACACGAGAACGAACAGCAACTCGTTGTAGAGAAGCTCAGAGAAGTTACACTAAAGGTTGGATAAAATACTGCAAAAATTACTAAAAAAAGTCGGAAAAATCCGGTTGTAGTGTAAAAGAAACCAGTTTGGAAATTTTTTGAAACATTGAAACTAGAATGAAAAAGAATGAAATTTACAAAATCTGGATTGTATCCTGAAAAAGTGTATATTGAAGATCAAGTAAGAAATAAGTACATGCCAAACACTCCTGGACTCTCAGCCAATATTGCACTAGATTCGTCCGTCAGCCTCGGTGACGACCTAATACGATAGGCCGATTTCTTGCGTCTTTCGCATCTTGCACTTCATTTGAAAAACGTGTAAATGCTAACCAAGTGAATTTTCATGACTCTCGTGCCTTTCTGAAGAGAAGCAAAAGCAGGCTTGAACAAATTCATGGCAACGAAATTCAATGAAAAACAGGACGAATAAGCGACGATTATTAGACGAATCTGCGGGGAAGGGGATACTTCATAGAAAGCGACATTAAGAAAAAGCCGCTAATTCGCACTCCTCTCTCAATTCGTAGATGAATGTTTACTTTCATATTAATCGTTCCCATGCAGTTGAAACGATCTTTTTATAGTCCACATCATCTAAATCGATCATTCTCATGAAGACTTGCATCATACTTCATTCGATGACCACCTTATTGACGTATATTATATTTATTATGAGAAGACACCGTTGACAGGAAGGGAATGGAACGGGACTGAGGACTCAACGAGTACGACAAAAAGCAGAATTCCTCAAAATATGATGACTCATTTGCTGATAAGCAACTTGTAAAGAAGAATAAAAAACTAAAATCATGTTAAGTGGCTGAGTGGAAGACCAGAAGAAAGGTTAGTGGATTTCAATTCCATTTCACATAATATTCTGCTATGAAAAAATAACTGGCAGTAAATAAAAGTTAGACACAGTGCCCGATGAAATGTCAGAAAACGTTGCAGAAACTTTGCCGTCATGTTCGTCATGAGAATGTTGACGCAAATGGAAGATGATAAAAACAAAGGATTACGATAGGGAAGCATAACCGTTTTTCATATGAACGTCAGTATAATAACATCTCGATAAAATTTCAAAAAACAGATAAATTACAATGAAGCTGAGATATTTCCAAAGTCCGGACAGCAGGTGTCTGCGGTGAGGAACGAACGCGCTATTGTCCTTTCCGTGGAGTAACGCGTTTACCACCACACCATGCGGGTCCTTCGTTTCGCCTTTCTCTCAGCTGTGTTTTAACCTATAGGTGCTATCGGCAAGCACCCGTAAACGGGATTGATCTGGGGAGCACAAATCGGCATCGTACCTACGGTGCGGACTTTTGCAAATATCTTAGCATGATTGCAATTGTAATCCACATCATACTCTGGCATGAAAAAGAATAGTGAGTAAATAAAAAGTGACAACAGACAAACTATTAAACAGGTAATAATGGTAATTACCATTAAATAAAGGATTAAGTATAGAGCCCTCCGTGTTGATCTATTCCTGAGGGATGCTCAATGCATATGACTTCATTGAGCATCCTCAAAGGTGATTGAATGCAAACTCGGCCCATACGAGGCCCATAGTCAAGTCGGACTAGCAGTGGACCAGCGATGTATCCAGTTAGTGCCGTTATCCTCCTAGACAACCCCGAAGAGATGGAAGGCTTAGTGAGCATGGGACGCAGGATCGAATACATGCATAGTGCAGGGCGTCTCTAAAAACTGCGCTATACACGCACCATAACTGTTATTATTACTAGATAATTATTACTAGATACTCAGTATTATTATGCGACTGAAAGATAACCGACAAGAGCCGTTAGCGAGTGGATTCCCAGGATATCAAACGCATACAACGATCCAATTGTAGGAGAACATCGCGGAAACCCTAGAATGAAGATATGATGCTTAACAGTCCCTAGAGAGAGTAGAACCCACTAGGCTACTCTTGCACCCGACAGGGATAAACGGAAGATTTATTAGCGCCCGCTCGAGTCATTCGACGACACAGGATGCAGATGATACATAAGAAATAGGTAAAATAGCACCAGTTTTCAAAATTAATACAGTGAAATGGGTGATGACTTTGTTTTATTCGGATTACATCTTCTGAAAGTGTTGCATTGAATGACGCTCGTCATAATGAAGGACAGTTCACAACGTTCCACGATACTTAAGTACAACGTTTTCAAAAGTTTTTATAGACGGCACCAAGAAAAATCCTACGAAAAACAAATAAAAACTAAAAATAATGAATATTTGGGCAGCATGGGGGATATTAACGACCCAGTTGAAGCTGTTAGAAAAAACGCAGTCTTAAAATAAAACAATTGGGTTCCAATTCAACGTTCCTTCAACTCGGAGCAACACAACTGACAAGCTGATTGGAGATACCAAAATATCAGACAGCTTAGTAATCTACTTTTCAAAACTCGTTTAGTACAAATCTCAACTGAATTTGCGGGTGCGCATTCAATTTTATGGTCGTTTTCATTAGAATGACAAAAGGACCATTAAGAATTAAAGGTCATTAGAAAGACCTAAACCATACTGAATGAAAACAATAGAATACGGCATGAAATTAGGATCATCTTTAGAGTTACTCTGTCGAAACAACACAGTTAAACTCGACACGACCTAGTTTTCACTTTTCTATTAAGAAACTTCCAAGTTCTTAAACAAGAAGCACAGTGGCTAATCTGATTAGTTCTAAGAACAGGTGTCTGTCTTCTCCTAGCAGAAATCGAACGAGCCTCGAAGCGCATACAGAATCAAGCTATAGGACCAATAGGACGATGGAGATTGCAAGTGACAGGAAAATCATCAACAATCTCCAAATATATGATAATGGAGGAGTGCCAGATTAACGAAGTACATGTGTAGAAAAGCTGCTAGTCGCTTTAACAACGATGACATCTGATGATTACAAATACTGCAAAGCTTTTAATCACGAAGATGAGAAAAGGCTCACATGAGATTTGAAACACGTCAAAAGGTCATTGGCTAGTGAACGTTGATGGCGACAGTTTTAGAGGGTAATCGGCTCGACATCAATGTTTACCATACTATGGTGACTTTAAAGTTTCACTCGATGTGGACCGGACGTTCACACTGTTGATATAAAAGGGAGTATTACACTGAAAATTCTACAGGAGATGCTTATGCATCGTTGCCCCTATGCCAAACCTCGAAATTTCCGCTTAAAGGCCACCATTGAGCGTTATTATTGGGAGTGGATCACACAGTGCTTAGAGATGCCGTACAGAAAAGTGCGTATGATCGATGATTCCACCATGCATCTGTGGTTAAGGAGTTGCTATCAGGTTGTCTGTGCAGAGCTAATGATACTTCAATAAAAGTCAGTGAATATGGAGATCTGAGAACGCTTTAGTAGAGCTATCACAATATTCCATGAAGAACAAACTCGACCAGCATTCAACGTCAACGAAGTTAGTAAAAAAGGCGACATATTCAAATAGCAGTCGCGAATCCGAAGACCGAAGTGACGGCTGCGAGGCAACAAATCGAGTGAAAAAGTGCCGGGATCTGCGCAACGTGTGAAATCGTGCCATGTATATATGTTCATATATACATATATATATATACATATATATACATATATATGTAGATATATACATACGTATGTATATATGTACACATACGTATAGATATATACATTTATGTATATGTATATATATATACAAGTAATAAATCACAAGTATTCTTACGCAAATCCGTGGAAGTTTGAGTTGCAGTTAGGCGCAAAAGGCAGTTACAGCCTTTGCCTAAACTGCTCGATTTTCAGATGGTCTGAGAATTATTTCGCGCAAATAAGGGGTTTGGCAGAAGCCCCCGTTCTCGGTCTCCTGCTACTACTCTACTGCAGGTACATAGATGATTCTTTTCTTATCTTCTCTACGCAGGAGGAGATGGACAAATGCTTCGAATTATTGAACGAGCAGTCTGAGTACACTAAGTTCACCCGGGAGAAACCGAAAAAAACTAGCTTCTGTTTCCTAATCATTAGATCAATTTATCAAGTAGCGGTTACATGACAAAGTGGTACCGAGAGCCAAATAACAAGAACATCCTCGTTCATTTCCTTTCTTCCCACCTTTCACACGCAAAGAGGTCCCTTGTGAGAAACATGTTTCGAACAGCCACCTCTGTGTGCACAGGTAGAGAACTAAAGGAAGAATCGCGCAACTTGGCTCGGGAAATAGCCATCTTCAATCGTTACGAAATAGTAACCCTACGAGATAAGTTCAGAAAGGGAGCGACGCCCCAAAACGAAGGGTTTGGCCGAAACAAAATTTCGTTTATCTTGCCCTTCATTAGCGATGAAATAAGTGTAGCGATAAAGCGATGCTTAAGAAGGGTAGATCAAGAGGAACTGGTAACGATAGTTGAAATACCACCGAATACTCTACGTCGTCAGTTAATTCGTAACCGCCTGTATGACTGTCTATGTGAAACAGCAAATTTATAATCAAATTCCGAGGTTAATAGAAAGTCGATCTTGGGAGCTGTTGCAGCTCGTTCGACGGTCGTTGTGACCGCTTTGCTACTTTTCATAACGTGTTCTACAGGATTTTTACTAAGGTTTCATTCACTCGCGTGGAACGGAATATATCTTAGCTTTCACGGCAAGCAAGATTTCGCAGAAGAAATTGTTTGATTTCTAGAGAAAAAACCGACGGAATCATCCTCGAAGTGCTATAATCCCGCTTCATGATTAAAAATCAATAAATAAAGAACAAAGAATGAAATCCAGAAGTTATTAGGAACTACACCACAAGTGAATAAATGAGGTGAATAACTTGCTATTGAAGCCATGAAGGTATAATGATAGGTTGGCACAACGAAATTACACATTCCGTGCATTAGTTCATTTTCGCTATGATGTTTTTCAAAACAGCACTGAGTGACGTAGAAATGTCGTAATAAAAAATACGGTGACTAGAGGTAACAAGGAAGACGAAGCCACACTCAGATGAATCACGACAGGTATATGCAATCAGAAGCTTTTAAGAATGATGTTAGAGAAACTGGGCTGAAATATATCTTGAAAAATTTCAACTGCCTGTTACGAACTGCAATATAGCACCTAATTTTGATTTAGACATGAATCTAGTGATCCTAAGAAGCTTTCACTGTTTTTGTTTATGTTGATGTTCGTTCCTAAAATACCAATTTCGGAATAGCCCTGGTTAACGTAGACCTACAAGCATACCTGACCGTTTTGACGTAGGTCTCTTTTGATGACACTAGCACATTCCTCGAAGACCATTCCACCGTTGTTGTCGTACTGTCAGATTTTCCACGATATATAAGGTAATAGTACGACATGTCGACACCACGACAGATAATAATAATTATGTTTGATTACGAACATCGGCCGTAACGTATACTTTGTAGTAGATGTGTAACCCTTTCAATCTATTGCGCCCTTGAAAACTATGGGTAAAGCGACCTGGAGATGATGCATTAGTAATGTAATCATTATTGAGATTCCTTCGGTCAGCCTTCCAAGGTAGGACTACCGTCCGAGAATAACTTGTTTCGTCTCAGATAACTTCTTTTGAGGCATGTGGTCATACGAATGGCGAAAATACTTGTGGCTTGCAGTTGTCAATTCGAATAAAATCAATTGCGATGTTATTTCACACTGTAGCTGTGCTAATGTTTCGACTGCTGGCAACAATATTAAATTCGGAAGAGGAAAATCCGAGATGAGTTGGGAGATACTAGAGTTTGACCAGAACTTCTCAGAGCCGTTTTAAAACCCTAAATAATGAGAACATCCTTTTGTTCAGTAAGGCTACGACCGTCATATATTCGCAAAGCTCACAACGACGGTTTTAAGAATGACTTCTCTTTGAGCTATCTCTGGTAACTCATTTTTGCACTATTGTAGAACTTCTAGTACGGAACTCATGTAGTTGATAATCGTTATAAAAAGTGTAAAAAGCAGCGTAGTTGTCCACTTATACCATGCAATAGAAATGATTCTTCACATAGAACAAGTGACCTTTAGTCCGACTATAAAACGATGTTACAGTAGTATTAGGTAAGAAGTATCTTCTGGATGCAAAATTTGGCACAATTTGCAGGTACATCGAGGATTCGTCTGCTCATTTGTGATATTAGATCACTTGTAGCAGACCATGGAACAGATATAAATCCTTTTCTTTAGCTATAAAGGTCGGTAAGTATCAGTTCATAAGAGCAATTTTCCTTTGGTGCGAAGATTAGAGATGAGAGTGTGTTACAAGATTATATGTGAAAGCCACTGACATTTCATGACGGCACCTTCCTTCAAGAAACAATAACGGACCGTCATTAACTTGATGGGAACACGTTGGTCTTCTTGTCTGCTCTCCCAAAGTGAATAATAAAGTAACTGATGTGATGATACTCCAGAACAACTTGAAGATTTGCAGTTGAAAAGACCACGCTGGTGTTGTAGGTAAAGTGTGTGGATCTTTTGGATTTCCGTGGCGTACTGTAGATGTGGTTTTGATCTAAAGCAAATAACGCGCTCTACAACCAATGTGTTCGCGTTAAATGCATCAGCGAATTTATTTATGAAACAGGCTCTCCATTCTTACGAAAGAATTCAACGTCCAATTGGCGTTTCAGAATTATTCCCAACAGGCAACGCGAAAAAACAAACCTAGATCTAGCTCTGAGTTAGTCATGTGAACATCGCACCAATGCGAAATCGATCACGAGTGTGACACATGAGCAACTCGCACACAAACTCAGACTTCTGCGAATTTGCGAGAGAATGCTTTTTATTTTCTTAATATAGCTCGATTTCATATGCATGCAAACCCCAGCACTTTTTTCATTCTGCTGGTTGCCTCACAGCCGTCACTCACGGATATCTTCATATTTGCTAGTGCCATTTGAATACTTTGCCCTTTTCATCAGTGTCGTAGAATGCTGTTGGAGCTTGCTCTTCACAGAATGCTGCGATAGTTATGCTACAGCGATCTCAGACCTTCATAGTCGCCGGCTTTTATTCAATAGAGGAATCTCTTCATAGACAGCTCTGATAACAATTCGGTAACCACGGATCCATGGCTGAGTTGGTTAGAACAAGAGCATGGTTGAACCAGTGAACCAGCATATCTACCTGCTATAGCTGCCGCACCTCAGTAGTATTTTTTTCAGCGTTTATTTCAAAATGTAGGATAGGCTCAGTGGGGCACAACAGTCTGCTAATAGAATGTTTCGAAGCTATGTTACACTCTGGGTACCGATAATGTAGGTGTCCAGCCAGAATGAAGCTTCTAACTCAGCATAGTATCGTGGATGATTACGTCGACGTCGACATGTTCCCCAAATTTTATTCGTTTTTTTTGTCCCGCTTTTGTCACATAATCCTCCTACAGTTGTCACCATCGTTGGCCAAAGCTCTCTCGACGTGTTTAAGATCTCATCGCAGCCCTACATTTTCGTAATTAAAAGCTTTGCAGCGCTCGTAGTCGTCTGATCCCCTCGGTATTGAAGCGAATAACATGTTTTTAAAAAAAACATGTACGGGGTTCATCTCGCATTTATCACGCTTGGAGATTCACGACCTCAATGTCGTTTGTAATCTTTATGCATGATTCATTGCTCATTGTATTATAATAAATTTAATGCACTTCATAGAAACCCGCATGGTGTGGTGGTGAACGCGTTACTCCCCGGAAAGGACAAAAACGCGTTCGTTCCCCACCGCAGATACCTGTGGTCCGGAGTTTTGCAAATATCTCAGCATTATCTTACTTGCTAAACCAAAATTTCAATCACATGGAGCACAGAATAGCTTCTTCGCACACTCGCTACTTTCTATGAGTATTCCACTGAGTGCGTCACGTGAAGACCAACCATACAGAGTTCATATGGAAGTGTAATGTGCCTCTCACATTAAAATATCAGTCTTAAATACTATGTGAGATCGTGTGTGATTAAAACGCATTTCTCTTTGTGGTTCACTTTCGGATTCTTGGAATGTATCCAGGATGCTTCGAGTGTTCGGCGCGTTGGTATTTTCGATTCCTGTGCGAGGATGTCATCTTCTAGTTCAAAGTCCTTCCAGTTCAATCTCTACGTCACGAGCGCAAAACATGCATTTCTCATGCTTGCAACAAACACACCTCCATAATCAAACAAAGAAAACCCTAAACCAAGATTTCAACCACATGGAGCACAGAATAGCTTCTTCGCACGCTCGCTACCTTCTATGAGTATTGTACTGACTATGTCACGTGGAGACCAACCACACAGAGTTCACGTGGAAGCATTATATACCTCTCACATTGAAATATCACTCTTAAATACTGTGTGAGATCACGAGTCTTTTTCATGCCTGTATGTCGGTTCGTCGACAATCCTCAAGCAGTAGCCAGTGTCACACGCAAAAAGTTGGAAGAAGTTGTAAGATTTTCGCGGATGAGGGGTGCAAGGAAACGACACAAAATGTAAGAAGTGCTGGGTTCCGCAAGCTAGATGTGGAAGACGGGTTTTGTGGAAAAAAAGTAGCCTGTTTATTTCAGTGTATGTCGTACTCTCATTGCCTACTTTCGTTAAAGCTCAATTCGTCATTGGTTGTTTTCATTTAGGTTCCTCACTGAATTCTTAAGCGGAATATGATGTCATGAATGTAAAGTACCGTATTGTTTAATGAAAACTGAAGTGGTCTGGAATGAAAACCTCACAAGACAACAAAACAAAGCGGTCTCATGGCATTTTAACTATTGTTAGTAAAAAAAAGCTTTCCTTTCATTTTTGCATATCTAACTAAGACCGTTTATGCTTTTAAAAGTGATGACATCATGACGATTTTGGAAAAAAGATCTTAGAAAAAAAGAACAGAACAACTAGTTGAACGACAGCTATTGCTAAATAGGATTTAGCCGGCTATAGCCGGCTTTTTAGATCAGGAGGTCGAACCCTTAATTTGCACCATCCGCCAAGGATGGCCTCTTGCCGTTGTATGTCACAGTTTTACGCCAGGAAACATCCCATAATACGATTAAGTGGAAAATCATGTAAAGTTTTCCTAGGCCGTCTAAAGGGCATAACAATGGAACACGTTTGAGCACCGTGGTCTACGCTATTCATGAAAATGGCATGTTAGAACTAAAAAGTAGGCAACTACACTTTGTAATACCCTAAAACTTATAATTATAAAGGATGAATGCTCGGCGAAAAAATTCTCCGTGCGAACTTGACCATCACATTCATATTCTATTGAGTTTATAGGTGCTCAGATCTCAAAGAATTGCCATCAGGAACACCAGAACAGGTGTTTGATTCCTAGATTTTTTCATTTCTCATTTCATTCCTAAAAAATGGAATTGGAAACAATTTTTGTCCCCAGACCTGACGACGTCCACGCATCTGTGAGGCTTCAAAGAAAACGCTACCTATCTGCAAATAAAACGTGTTTACCACATGAAACTATTACGATTGAATGTTGAAAAACTTAGGTAGGCACCGATGAGATTGCCTTCATCTCTGTCGTGTGCGAGAACTCCTCATTGTGTACATTACTTGTTCAAAGAACATGAGAACCGCCATAGTTTTTGAATGAGATTTTTATTTTTACTGCTTTTGAACACCAAATAAGCACAGATAGATCGCACAGACCTTTTGTGGTAAAAGTTAACTCTTGACCGAGCATCCATATAGAAATATCTAACTCCTTAATTTGTGTGACACAGGTAGGAAAATAAATCCCCACACCGAACGCCTAGCGACCATCAAAAGTTCAAGGCTAGACCCATCATCAATTGTGTAGATGTGCCGACGGAAAGCATAACTTGGTTTATAAACTCAGTAGTTATAAACTTGCTGAACCACGTTCCAGCTCATCTCAAGAACAACCGAATATTCTTCGACCGTCTGAGTAAAGCGCGTCCTAAAAGCGGGTACGAGATGCAGTCCTTCGGTGTTACCGCCCTTTGTAATAACATGCCCCATAACTACGCAATTCAATTCGTTCGCGAGCTCCATATGCAACACGAAGGAGCAGTAAACATGTATGGATTCTCAACTAAGAAGTTCACGGCTCTCTTAAAATAATGCCTAAACTGGGTGAGAGGGTTGGTAATGGAACAGAGACTAGCAACAGACCTTATCATTGCCTTTATGTCTAAAGTGGAAGCACCAGTAATCGATCTCCGCACATTACTCTACTGCGGAATTGTCTTGTCATCTGCTCCACAGAAGAGGAAATGGACAAATGGTTCGAGTTATTGAACGAACAGTCAGAGCACACAACATTCACTCGAG